AAACCTCTTGTGTTGGTCAAATTCATTTCCACTTGATTACGTGCAATGCTCAAATGTGTGCACCACAGCCAGGCAGCCAAATAAAGTGGAAATCATTTAAATGGAATTAATGCTCGAACAAAAACATGTGAAAACTATCGCTCGCAAATCAGTTATATCAAAGTCGGCAAACGGAAATTACTAGACTATATATATATATATATATACATATAATATTGCATTGCCTTTCATTCGTTTCGATTCGATTCGATTTGGGGTGTTTGGCCTTCGCGTGAGTCAACAAATGTTGAAATATACTTTTGTATTTGATAGATTGGCAAAAAGGTAGAGCTGCAAGGGCGTGTGCTCATAGACTTTGACTTATCGGGGAGTGAGCAGGGAGGAGCCGAGTTTAATGATCCCAAATATCCGTTGAGATATTCCATTCCCATTTAATTGCCAAGTGTTAAAATATTTTGTGAAACCAACAATAAACAAATGCATTAAACGAATATTGAAATAAAGCAATTACTTTTCTAACAAGAATCTATCTCAAATACATAAAATATATTAATATAAATATATTAACTCAAGATGTAAAATTAAAGTGTAATATTAAAATAATTATCAAAAAAGGCTTGCGAAGAAAATATTTAAAAACAAATCTTAACTTTTCTTCACAAAACTGAAGACTTGAAACCTTCTTGATATTTTAACAAACTTGTAGGATATTAAAGTATTGGAAGATTATTTCTAAGAACTTAAAAACTTTATACACAAAATTATTAATAAAAAAATAAGTTAAAAGTTTTGCATTCTTTGTTCATTACTTTGCCAAAGTGGTTGGATATTGAAGGGTTGTATGGTAATTTCTAGGAATTTGAAAGATTTAACTAGAAGAAAAATATAAACAGAATGCAGTGACAAAAAAGCACAAGATACAGTCTGATCTTGTGGTATAGGATATTATCTTGTCAAGCATAATTATAATGGATTATGGCTTCCTTTAGCTGTTCCCAAACATATATGGAAAAAGTACTCCACACAGCCTTAAAAAGCTTTATTGATGATTAAGTAGAAAGTGCGGACTGATGTTGTATTATCTTTTCAAGCATAATTATTATGGATTACTAGTTCCTCTTAGCTGTTCCTCTTAGCCAGCATACTTCAAAACTGTACTCCAAACACAAAATGCGCTTTTCCAAGCCATATATGTTCTGGTTAGATCTGATTAGGGAAAGTAGAGACGCCACTTGGTTTGCCGTCGCAATGCGACCGACACTTACGAGTGGCACTTGTAGCACGAGACATGGGGCAACCGACAGAGAGAGAGAGAGAGAGAGAGAGAGAGAGAGAGAGAGCGTAAGGAAGAGGGAGAAACTATGCGAATAGCGCGCGTGCCTTGCCCGCCAGCACATCCTTTGCCAGGACGAAAGCTGAGAGGAAAACAACAACAACAACAGCAACAAAAAAGAAGAAAAAACAACACAGCACGTGACAATTGCGTCAACAGATTTTTCGCTGAGATGCGCACAAAATTATGAAACAGAAATGTGGCAAATAAAAAACGTGTGCCACAAAAACGATGCTGAAGCACAGCCCAAGGGCTGAAAACAAAAAAATATATATATATAACGAAAAGGGGAGGCAAAGCTGTTGTTGTTGACAATATTTATGCAGCAGCAGCACCAACAGCAACGCCCCCCTCCCCACTCCCCCCACTCCACCCCTCATATTTTTGTTGCTTGTTTGTTTTTGCATTTTTGTTACAAATTTTACAGCTTTTGTTTTGTAATTTGTGCCCGCAAGCCAAGCAACTCGAGTGGGGCAAAAGCAAAAATTTTAGAATAAACTCTCCAACGGATCGAATAGCTCTTGAAAGCAGCCAACCTACCCCCTACCCCCCACTGGTTGTTGTTATTGTGACTGTTTCCGTTTCCTCTTTGAGGCGCATCGATAGCAGCACTATATAGGACTATATAGTGAATGTATGTTCGCTGGTGGATTTTACTTGGCACCGCAGAACGTGACGAAGAACAAAAGAAGGCACTTGCAACACTTCCACTGCTGCTTCCTGCCACACGCGCTCCTTTGGCGGTACGCTCCGCAAGTCCTGCCACCACCGGCCACCTGCCACCCCTATCCCATCTATTCTCTATTATATTTTCTTGTTTAATTTGTTGTTTTTCGTTTTTTATTCGTTGCATGCTGCTCTTGTTGTATCCACAAAAAAGCACGCTTACAATAATAATGTCATTATGTATTGTCTGCAGCCAAAGCGAAAGCATAAAAAAAGCATATACAAAAAGTTGCCAACCACATTTTTCTTTTGTTTTTTTCTTTTTTTTCTTAATATGTTTTATTGTACTAACTTTCTAACGAGCAGACGGAAATTGTACAGCAAATTTGGTAAATGTGTGTGAAACAAAAAAACAAAAAAAACAACAAATGAAACTTGTAGTTTTCGCCTTGTTGGCTAAGTTAAGTTGCCAATCGAAAGCAAGCAACCCTCTTCAGCGTAACGAATTTATTGTTTCTATTTGGCAAACAGCAAATTTAGGCTTCAACTGTTTGTTTTAGGCTTTAATTGCAAATGAAAGTTTAAGTAGAATTCTGCTGAGTTTCTATTATAGTCAGAGCAACACTATTCAAACATTATTCGTTTGAATACATTTCTCCATCTCTATAAGGAAGTGCACGTGGTCCGTAAAGGAATATCACAAATAGGAAAACTCATTTTATCCCATTTCTTTGTCATTTACGCTGGCTGTTTACTTTTGTAAATTTGCTCAGACCAAAATAGGGAAGCTCTATCATAAATATTGACTTTACATATTTGTTGAAAATATTTGTATTCATATTATTTATTTATATAGATTCCCATTGAGCCAAACCAAAAACAAACTCAACTGGCTGGCAAACACCTTCTTTTTTTTTGGCAGACCACAAAACAAAAATGTCCGAAACCCAAGCAAAATAAACAAACTGAAAATCGAAGGTTTTCAGTTGATCAGGTAGCAATTTTTGGTAAGGCGTTTACTAATTTTCAATATCTATTTGCATTACTCTAATGAAAAGATAATATTGAAAAATGTTGAAAGACTGAAAAGCAACCAAAAAATAAAAAAGAATAATACAAATAAACAGCAAAACATCTGCGAATTATTGGATTAACTAATTGGATAGCTAGAAAAATAAGCATAAACAATTTGTGAATAATAATCGAAATCATAAAATTTGTTGAAGTAAACAGAAAATGTAAATAATATTTATGAATACATTTTCAGACCAATTTTTAATTACAGAAGTGCCAATAAATAATTTATGAATAATAAACTACATTTTAGCTCCTCAATTTATTGAGGTAAACAGAAAAAAAAAATGTTTGCAAACAAATAAAATGTAAATAATATTTATGAATAAATTTTCAAATTAATTATTAAATTATAGATTCAAAAAATCACATTTTTAAGAGAATTGATTTGTAATTGTTATTGAATTCGACTAGGAGTCTATTGAGGCATAATTGAAGAATTCTGACACCTTTAAATGACTACTTAATGCAAAAGTCATTGCTCAGTCAGCAGCGGCATCAACTTAATGCACATCAAAGGCGATAATACCGAACCGATATCCATAAATATATACAAAAAAAAAAAACAAAAAGAGAAAGAAAATAGTATCTGCCACTTGAATTGTTGCCCGGAATTGCATGTCAAACAGTTTTGGAGGCGTTCCGAGTTGGTGAGAATGATGGATTTGGATCTGTTATTGTTATGATTCGTATGAATTCAGATGCGTAATTGCTTGGCACAACATTCTATTCAATACATAGTAATTTCCATTCTCGACACTCAATTCTCGATGCTTGTTTCATCCAAACAAGATGCCGCGTCGCGCCGTGTATTTTATTTATTTGTATGCCCCATGCCCCATGCCCCATGCTCCCCATCCTCCAGCTGTATATGGGCGAAGCAGATCAAAAGATTTACACCACAACACCCACATAAATGTATGTATATTGTCTAATAATTGTTTATTAAACATTAAAGACTTATGCCAAATATTAAACAGCCGCTGCCGTCACATAAAGTCTCAAGAAAAAGAAAGAAAAAATACGAAAAGTACATAAAACTTAATCGGTTCGCCCCATCTAAAAATACCAACCATATGGCAAGCAACCACTGAGCTCAATTTGTGAGCTAAGCCCTCTGATCCATTTACCATAAATATGTTGATATATCACAGCGCAGGATTAGCTTCCTGTTTGCAACCATATGGAGTTTGGCAGCTGTACGAGGAGCAAGCGGGGCAAGCGTGAGATGAGGGGCAAGCGGGGGTGTGAGGGGTGCTCCCTCATAATGCTGATAAACAATATGCTGACGCTGACACTTTTAGCGTGTAAAATATATGAAGTGTTAATTTGTAAATGAATTGGAATGTTTATTGTTATGTTTGTTGTTTGATTTTTATGTTGCCACCAATTGGTTTAATGTGCGCTCGTTTCTGAAGTGGTTTTCTCTGTGGTTTCTTCAGTGTAGTTGTATAGTTTTAAGGAAATTGGATATAAGGACAGAAAGTCTTTATAATTGTCGTTGAGTAATATTTGTACTTTTAACCTTATTTTTTTTATTTTTTACGTATTATTATTATTGCCTTAAAATCATCTGTAAATGAATCCGCTTTCTGTGTTCCGTATTAATATATAAAATAAGTCTTTTTACTTTTCCAAGCGGTGCCAAATAAATTGTACTTTAAATGAATTCTAATTTTTCCTTTTATGTCGCTAATCCAGCATTGATCTCATAAAATTTTTTAATTTACAGCCACAAACATTTAAATTGCGCTCCAAAAAAGTGCTGCCAAATCAAAATTTATAACTATCGATAAGTGAGAATTGTACGTACCATACTATCGAGTTTGAACTATCGTTCAGCAAACACATGCGCTCATCCCTAATCAATACTCTGGAACAGCTGTTAAATTTCTGCAATTTAGATTTTCTTTGCCCAAGTTCAAAGTTGCTTTTTATTTTTAATGAATTTGTGTGTGAAACGAACAAAATGGAGCGCAAAGAAGTGGACGCCGAACAGTTCATCGACCACGTAAGCGAATGTAACAACTGTAAACGACATGGCATGGCAATAATAACATATCAATTGCAGACGCTGCTGGCGACGGAGCTGATGCACAATAACTTTATGATGGATCTAATGGATCACACTGGCGTATTTCCCAAAGCCGAAGGACCCACCAATCTCAGCACAAGCGGACATGGCGCCACAGCTGGCTCGCCGCCAGAACTCAATTTCCACAATACAATTTTTCAGTTTGTCAACAAACATGTTGTCGGCGGCGGCGTTGACGAGGAAGAGGAGGTAGGTGGCGTACCAAAGGTGTCTGACAAGGAAACGGATGTGGAATTTCTCACCATCAACAGCAGCTTCCTCGATCGTGGCTCAGAGAGGACAACAGGCGAAACGGGCAGCGCCGGCGATGTGGTGGCACAGCAAGAGCAGCAGCAGGTGCCACAACCAGCATTTCCGGCATTGGCGATTGAGCCAACGGTGCCCATCGATGTGTCCAATGCGCTGGAGGATGAGGATTTTCTCTATGCGCACAATGCGTGCACAATCAATGCCCGCAAAGTGTTGCCGCACAAGAAGCGCATCTCGCGCAAACTGAAGGGTTCGATGTGCAGCATGGATACGGCGGACTTGGAGCAGAATCAGCAGCACAAGCATCATGTGCATCAGGTGCAACAACAGGTGGTGCAGCCAACGGTGCAGCAGGTGGTGGCCAACTATAGCTGCGAAATCTGCGGCTACGCAGTTCAAACACAAATCGAATTTTATGCACATCTCAAGCAGCACTATGATCCCGTGCATGATCTCGAGCGGCGTCTCGATGTGCCACAACAACAGCAGCAGCAGCAACAACAGCAGCAGCATCAACAACAGCAGCAGCATCAAAAGGAGCCACTGGATATGTGTGGCCTATCAACACAGGACAAGGTAAGCCAGGCATATTTAAATGGAAAACTATAAAATCAAATAAAATAACAAAATATAATAAAGTAAAACAATAATATAATCTGTTCATTTGGTTTAATTTCAATATAAAAATACAATAATTTACTAATACAACATTCATTTCATCTCATTTAAATAGAAAAATATAATTGAATTATGTATTTTATTGTAACAGGTCTTTCACGATGTGCAGCTTAACTTTGAGAACTTTCACAGCATCAGCCATCATCATGTGCATGATGACGATGACGATGATGATGTTGTGAATGATGTAAGCGTCAATATGGTCATACATTCGGATGCAATGTCCATGCACAACAAAGCCAGCGATGGCAAACTGACGCCAGTAGTTGCCACAAATGCATCAACTGTCTCCGCCTCGCATGATGTGGCCGTTGCTGTGGACGATGTGGAGTTTAGTGATCCTGAGGATATGCTCGGTGGTATGCGCGATGTGGTCGATAAGGTCTCCATTGAGGATACCTGCGATGAGCTGGTCGATCTGGAGCTGACCACAAGTGGCATGCGTGCACCTTGGTTTAATAACAATTTCAGTGATATAGGATTCTCGGGTCTGCTGCTGCCAGGTGAACCACCAACACCTGCACAACCACAACCACCACAATCAGCTACAACCCCATCAACAGCAAGCACTGACGTAGATCCACTGCTCAAAACACAACCGGAGCAACAAATGACGCTCAGTTTTCTCAATAAGCCGGATGGACAACAGCAGCAGCAGCAGCAATTGGTGGCGCATCCCAAACTGGAAATGGGACACAAGAAGAACTATATTGCGGCCGCGGCATTCAATGCCATCCAATCCAATGGCAATGGCAATGAACAGACGCTATTGATTACCTCGCCGGAGCACGCATCATCATCATCGCCCAACTCGGGCTCGGCCATTGAGCAACTGCAGCGCTCGCCGCTAATCATAAGCGAATCGTTTAAGCTGGAGGATGTGGAGAGCAGTGTGCCAGCGGGCAGCATTGCATCCAGTTCGCCAGCAGCCACAGTCATCGAAGATGAGGACAATGCCGATAGCTATCTGTTGGAGCTGGACAACAAGTCCACCAGCGATGATCCCAGCAACAACAACGGGGCAACAAAGCGCAAATTCCATTGCGATAAGTGCGCCAGGGACTTCAATTCATACAATGCCCTCAAATATCATCAGCACACACATAGCAAGGAGCGTGCATATCAATGTCCCACCTGCCAGGCTTCCTTCTACACGCCCAGTTCCCTCAAACAACACGAACGCACACGTGAGTAAACCAAGAAGAAACTCAGATAAGATCGCAATCTAATATCATACTGAGTATGAGAAAATTGCTACTAGAAATAAGTTGCCAAAGATGAAGTATCCTCGCAGCTATGCCATATTCTATTATGCTCTTAATTAATGAAATTTAAATTTTAATTATAATATTTCTGTTTGTTTTTACTCAGACTCCGGCATCCGGCCGTTTAAGTGCGAACAGTGCGATTTCAAGTTTCGACAATGGGGCGATCTCAAGTTGCACATCATCTCGCGGCACAGCGAGATAAAGGCGCACATGTGCGAATACTGTGGCAAGAGTTTCTCCCGGAAATACTCGCTGGTTGTGCACCGTCGAATCCACACGAGCGAAAAGAACTACGCGTGCAAGTACTGTGAGAAGACATTTCGGGCCAGCTCCTATCTGCTGACCCACATCAAGGTGCATACGGGCGAGAAGCCCTATTCGTGCTCCGTTTGCGACAAGAAATTCCGGGTGAATGGTGATCTGAAGCGACACTCGCGCATTCACGATCCGTCGCGACTGACGCAGCGCACCAAGCGCTGGAAGCAAATCGAGGATGAGGTGGACGACGAGGAGGAGCCGATGATTAAGTCTGATGCCGTTTGTGGCGAAAGTGAACAGGAAATTTTGGGCTGTTAGTTAGCCAGATGTGCCAAGGTTTCTGCACAACTCTAGTATTAACACATGACTAGCCACTAAACCCCTCTTAGAATCTGTACTCAATAGTGTAAATAGAAACCAATGCTTGTGTAATTAATGTAAGTAGATCTAGAAGCAAAAAAGTATGTCATCAATTTGGAATTACAAAGTGACTAAAAACCAAGCAAATCAAGAAGCAACTGTTTATATTAAATATTATATAAAAATTATAATTTAACTGAATACATTATGTAAAATAAAGTTCAAAATATATAAACATCAAAATTGAAATCAATCGAATTGCCATTAATGGTGTTGCAAGCTGGATTGAAGAAAGTAGTTTTAGTTTGTTCTTTTTTTTTACTATTGCAGAGCATTTCTTTATTATATCATTTTGTTTTTTGGTTTTTATTTTATTTTTTATCTTTTTGTTGTTTTCTCTTTGAATAATTCTTTCTCTTTTTGCACTTGTACCGTTCATCGACTTAATTCTTAGGTTTGTTGTTGTTTTTTTCCGTTCATTTTGTTAATGAGTAATTATATATATATATATATATATTATATATATATCGTAATTATAAATGTAACTATGTACAACACATGTGTTTTGGGGCAGACCCAAGAACTTCAATGAAATCTTTGTATTTTGTTTACAACTTAACTTGTTTCATTCATCTTACATTCATCATATGCTTCTTCTTCTTCTTCCTTCTTTGTAATCGCTTTTTTTGCTTTGTGTGTCTCAAAAATATTCAACATAAATTCCTCTTCATCAACTTCTTGATTTGTGTGTCGTGTGCTTTTTTTTTTATTTTTTTATATTTTGTTTTTGTTTTTCTTGTAGCCTTTTTGGTGGCCATTTTCACAATTTGCCTTTTTTCACGTTTAAACTTAAAAACTAGAACCTAGTGTCGGTTGCTTCACTTTGCTTTCTCTCTAACATATGCTCAGTCCATGATATCTTCCATTCTCCATTTAATGTGTGTATATATATATTTATATATATATACTATATAATATAATTTCTTGTGATTTATCTTCTTCATCCCTTATCTGGTTGTTAATTCATTAAAAATTATGAAAACTTCATGCCTAGTTTCTCGCTCGCACTTCTTGCTTAACTTTTGCCTGATCTTTGATGGATTTCGTTCGTTATTATTTTTTGTTTCTGGTGGTGTGGATTATACTGTTTTTTGTTTTGTTTTTTGGTAGGTGGTGTGTGTGTGTGTGTGTGTGAATGTGGTTGTGTGTGTGTGTGTGTGTAATTTTATTTGGGTATGGTTTTATTGAAATTGTTCAACTACTTTTTGGATTCAACAGAAAAATGTTTGTGTTGTTTTTGCTTTTGCTTGATCGCACATTAAATATGATTTAAAATTAGCATTATTTTGAATATCGTTTTTTAATATATATGTACTTAAAAATGTATGTTGCATGTTCTGCTTCTTGCTATGGTTGTTGTTGCACACAACTGTTACTGTTATTTCATTGTTTTTTGTTTTTGTTTTTGTTTTGGTTTCTCGTTTCGCTTGGTTGTGTTTTTGCTTTAAATTTAATATGGGTTTATTATTGGTTGGTTGGTTTTTTTTTGTTTTTTGGGTTTTTCTTTCGCTTTTGTTTTTGTTTTGTTGTATGTGTTTTTGTTTTTTATATACTTAAGTTGACAAAGAAAATTTAATTCTGCTTTACTTATTATACACATATTATATGCCTGCAAAATGTTTGCCAATTTCATTTTTTATATTAATTTTTTTTTTTGTGTTTTGCATTTCATCAATCAATCAATCAATCGCATCCAATCATGTTTCAACAAAGGGATTTATGAATGTTTGTTTTTGTTCTTGTTTTGGTTGATGGCAGCTTTGTGTGAATAAATTTGTGAATATTGTTTATAAAATAGCTCGCTTTTAATTCTTGTACATTCAACATATTAATCTGGTGTCTATTTTTTGAATTCCCAACTTGTTATTATTGTGTAAATTGTTGTTTTTTTTTCTGGTTTGTTGTTTGCTATTGTTGCCTGTTGCCATCTTGTTTGTGTTTGTTGTCCCCAGTGTTTGCTAAGCAATTTCCTGCTGCTTTTCTTTCTTTCTTTTTGCTTCTGCTTGTGCTTCCACTTTTGCTTTTGCTTTGCTATCCTCCTCCTTCGCCTGCTGCTTTTTTTTTTACTGCTTTGCATAATTTTTACACAATTTATAGAAATATAATTTTGCTCTTTAAAGTTTTCGAGTCTTCGTTCTACATCACACCACAATTCTTTTGTTTTCTTCGTCTTCTTCTTCTGCATCTTTTGTTGTAATTTTTAATTATAATATATTTTACTTTTCTCGTTTGACTGACTGGTCGCAAACGATGTTTTTTAAAAAAATTAAAATACTCGCTAACAATTTAGCTTTTTGCCAATTTTCCAAAACGCACACAAATACAATATTTACAGTTCTGTACTTACTACATACATTTATATATATATATAGATATACTCTTATATATATATATAGATCTAAACATCGATCAGCTAGTTGCTGCCAAACTTTCCAAATTTGCCTGTTTTTTTTCTGTTTTTTTTTTGTTTGTTTTTTTTTGTTGCATTTTTGGTTTAAAATTGTGAAAAAATAGCTGCTTCTATTGTTAGTTGTTACCTTTTTGTTGTTTTTAGCGTATTTTCTGTTTTTAAAATTTGAATTACTTTTAGCTTTACATAATTTGATTTGATGATGTTTTTGTTGCTGCTGTTTGTTGCTGGTTTTTTGTTTGCCTGTTGTTTTTTTGTTGTTTATTTTTTATGTTTGCCTGACACGTTCTTAAGTTTGATCGTGTTGTGTGCGCCTAGTTGTTTGACCAGTGCTGTATGGAAACAGTGCTGTTCAACAACACTGGCTGCTTTTAGGTACTTTTACAGTTTGCAGTTGTTGGTTGTTGTTGTTGTGGATGTTTTTGTTGTTGTTGCTGTTGTTGTGTATAAAAAGTCTTTGATTTGCCTTTGCTTTCTCCATTTCCCATTTCTCCTCTTCTCCATTTCTCCACTGCTCATCTTTCATTTTCGCTGTTAGCGCGCTCTGCATTAGAGACTCACCTGCTGCATCTTATCAAAATCTAAACACGGCCGATGCGGCCGTTGCAGTCTCTGTGTAACGGTAACGCCAGCATTATTTGTTGCAGCTGCTGCAGCCGCAGCATCACCAGCTACATTTGTCACTGCTGCTGCTGCTGCTGCTCCGCCAGCAACATTGTTGCTTGGACGTCGACGCGGCGAAATGGCGCAATGAAATAATTTCGCTGGCGGACTAACCGAACGCACCTCCATATCCAATCCGGTTGTGGAGGCCGGACTGCTCCTGGAGCTATTGTAATGGAAACTATATTTGGGCTGCGGCTGGTAAATGTGATGGGAGCTGTTGCTCATCTTCAGCGAGCTGCTGCACGCCTTAATAACACTCGGCTCGTTCTCGTTGCCAACTTGGCCACCAAGTTTGGCGCATTTGTTGTTGCTGTTGCTGTTGTTGTTACTGTTGTTGCCATTGTTGCTGGTGTTGCTGTTGTTGGTGTTGGTGGCGTCACCGTTCTCCTCGTCATTTACACTATTATCACATAATTTAATATTTTCGATGCCACATCTGGCCTCCGATAATATCAGTGGCGTTGTGGAGCGGAACATCATATGGCTACGATTTGGCTTAAATGCCTCCAATGGCGGCGATGTGCGAAAATTCACGGGCGTCAATATCGGCTCCAGCGAGTTGCGCAACTATTTAATCGGATTGTATTGGATTATGGGATAATTTAATTAATTTATATTATTAATTATTGATATTGATATTATTAATCTCACCTCATCATCGGAGCTGTGGGCCAGCGAACGCTTACGGTTCTCAACCATCAGCGTTGAGCTGGAACGCTTCGAGTTCGATGATGATGGCGGCGCCTCTGTGTCCAGGGATGAGGTGCAACCCCGATTCGATAGACGCGACACACAGGACGATGATGATGCCGCGGCTGCTGTGCAGCTGCTGTGTGTCGCTTTTGTCGGTGTATGCAACGATCCCGCCGCAGCCGCCGCCGCTGCTGCTGCTGCAGCTGCCACCGCTGATGGCCCATTGATGACCTCCAGCTCCTCCTCGGAGCTATGCTGGTCGTACATGAGATGGGCGCAGGATGACGAGGACGACGACGTTGTCTGATGGTGACACATCATTGTTGTTGCAGCAACAGCGGCAACAGCAGCAGCAGCAGCATGCGCCGAAGACTCCGATGAGCATGCAGTATCGGTTGTTGGTGAATTTGCATCCGTACAGGAACTCAAACCTGTTTCAAAATAAACACACACATTTCCAATTAGTATTCGTTATCAAAATCCAACTATTTTTATGTTTTTTAATTTTTACTAAATACTTTCGAGAGGAACTGCAATTAAGTCCCCTAATTCTGTCATTAAAATGTGGTCTAATTTTTTTGGCGTCTTTTCTGTTTTTATTCCCCAATCCATGTAAGATTTAGGTGCCAATTGGAATCAAGAGCAGACGTAAATCCAATCAGATGCTCTCTTTCACTTGTCATCAATTGGAGTTGTTGATATCAAGTATACGTAGATTGCATGTACAGTTACTTACTAGTTTCCATATCCACGTCTAAGTGACGTTTGTTTTCCACATCGAGGAGTTCACCATCAGATTCGGTGCCAGAGTCATTCGATTCACGCTGCAAAAAAAAGCGCAATACAAAATTTGTAAGTGATTTGGTCTTAATACATTTGTTGTTGGATTCTAGTTCATTTAATTTGATTGGTTTTGGTCTTCGATTCGTCGGTTGCCCACCTTTTTTCGCAGAAAATTTTTCGATGCCTTTAATGAATTCTCACGATTTTTGTGCCTGACAAACTTTATCATGATTTTTCGCTGTGTGCTTTTGTTTTATTTATTACACATTCCAAACGCACGCACGCACACAGGCACACACACACACACACAGAGACACACACGTTTGTATTTACGCGACGACACTGCACCCACAACACAGAAAAACTTACTACGACAAAGTCGACGTCAGCTGCGACGGCGGCTGCGACGCCCACGTTTTTTGTATGTCTTTATGTGCGAGTGTGTTTGTATGTATGTATGTGTGTCTGTTGAGTGTCCGTGGGGTCGTCCTCACGCTCTCGTCGCTCTCGGCTCTCGCTCTGTTCCTTGCTTCTACTACTACATTACTACATGCTAGTACTTTTTGTGCTGTTACGTTTTACACTCGTGTTTTCGGTTTCTATTTATTCGCCAGTCAGTGTATGTATTTTTGTTTGTTATTTTTTTTGCCTTTACTTTGCTTCCTGATTTACTCGAGAGGCTCAATGCGCGCTCACTCACTCACTAGCTCTCGCTCTCTCTCTCTCTCTCGCGTTCGCTGTCTCTCTTTCACTGTTTGCCGCCTACGCGCGCCTGTTTGGCGCGTGTAAGCGCCGTTTTCTTTTTGCAATAATTTCAATCACGTTTCATGCGCGGCGTTTTTTTTCTTGTTGTTTTTGTTGTTGCAATCTGCACCGACCCACAGCAGCAGCAACAACAACAAGAAGAAGAGAAGACGGTTGCCCAAGCCCGAACCAAAGCGACCCGAGCCGAACCGAGACGAGACGAGCGCGCACCTTTTGCCGTAACTTATACAGCACGAATTTATCGATTTTCGGTTTCGTACTGCGGAAGCAAAAAGTTCTTCTTCAACAGGACGACCCATCCATGGCAGACATGGCAGGAGTTTTGTAGAAACGACAAAAAAAAACACACACACGCAACGCTAATTTCGTTGCATTGATTGATTTTTACATTTGAATTTACATATTTCGATTTTGCTTAATTTTCTATTGTTTTGCAAAACAATTGCACTTTACAGTTGCACTATTTTTTTTTTTTATTTGGTTGTTGCACTTCTCTCTCGATTATGGCAGACTTTTCGGCTCGCCGACTTATTACTACTACGTATTACTATCATCACCCGTCACCGGCTAGCGCTGCGCTCAAACTGAAAAATTATGGCCAACAAATCTCTGCGCTGGCGCTGGAGCTCTGCTGCTGTTGCTGCTGCTTTGCTTTTCACTTGCTGCTCTCCTCTCCCACTTGCAATTTCTGTGTGCGTGTATTTGTGTGTGTGTGTGGGAGCATTTTGCACTGGTTGACTGACTGGGTTGATCTGTCTGTGTGTGTGCTTGTGTGAATAGGGCAAAAGGGGTGAGGAGCATGTGGAGTGTGTGGGGGCAAACATGCGCGCACAGCTCGGGTTAATTCGTGAGACTTCGTCTGGGCTTCGGCTTGTGGAAATGCAGCGAGTTAACAGCGTGTGCTCGTAGTACATAGTATTTTTAAGAAGAAGCAGCAGCAGCAGCAGCAGCAGCAGCAGCGATAGTAATGGGAGCCGACGAGGAGCAGTGCAACAAAAATTAAGCAAGAGAAGAAAAAAAAACGCTATGTTAAAAAATAAGATTTGAGTTACAAGAAAGAAAAAGCAAAGAAAAATGTGGTAGCACGATTAAAACCAAATAGAGATAGGCAACCAAACACAAATATTTTTGACATGTTTGATTTTGCTTTTGCATTTTGCTTTTGTTTTTTGTATCAATCACACATTCAGTTTGCTTTCAATTTACGCGGAAAATACTACGACAATGTCTACGTGCCCCACGAGCTTACACACAGACACAGGCACAGTTACAAATAATGTAAAAAGACCGAGAGAGAGAGAGAGAGAGAGAGTACAGTAAATTGTATGGAGCAAAGCTCCTCTCTCTCTCTCTCTTTCTGTTTCTCACTTGCACTCGCATTCACTCCCCCCACTCATCCACCCATCGCTCAAACACGTCGACGTCTGACTATCGATTCCGCATTGATGTTGTTGCGTCGCCAAGCACTTTTGTTCCATTCATACGATACACACACACACACGCACACACACAAAATCAAACTCTTACGTGCATACGCATGCAGTAATGCAGAGCGCAACACCAATAGAGAGAGAGAGAGCGACAGAACGAGAGGAGAGAGCGCGAGAGAGCGAGAGCGTCTGACGTATGCATATATGTGCAATGCATACACTTTGTGGTGTGGGTGTTTGTTGGTGCTGTGGGGGGTCAGGCATCAGAAGCAGCAGCAGCAGCAGTAGCAGCGAGTGTTGAACGATGAATGGGGCTGCTGCTGCTGCTGCTACTGCTGCTACTCTCTACTACAATTCACCAGCACTGGACGACGACGATGACAGCGACAGCGACAGCGACGACGACGCCAACAGCAGCTGAGGCGACAAGCGCTTGTTGGGTTGGTTGGGGTGTGTTTGTTGGAGCACGCGACGCGCTTTTGGAGAATTGACAAAACAAGCGCAAGCGATAGAAACAAGGGATGCGCTCGTGTCCAACTTTTTTGCAGCATGACACGAAAATGTGCCCCAGACTAAATACCATTGCATACCAAGGACTTAATAACATTTATTTTAATTCAATTAAACATTTGTTTCTTAACAGATTTGTTTCATTTAAGCGATAGATAGATTAGATTAGTATCGCCGACTAAATATAATTTATTGTATTTAATTTTGTACATTACCATAACATACCATAGACTAAATAACATTTTTAGAATTTAATTTTTGCATATTTTTAACAATTTTGTTTGTGTCATTTTTTCTGCTTTGCCATCTTATTTGGCATTTCCTACAAATGCAATTTTCTACAGCAAGCGGTTGTAATAATTTGAAATTATCGTTAGGGCTTCAGTTCACGCTGAGCACGAGAGATCTAATTATTTTGTAAAACGAACGCAATCGCGGCACGTGCTCAACTCTAATGAAGAGGGAAAGAGAGACACAGGCCATGAGAGAACGTGCCTACACACACACACACGCACACAGAAACATACTACAAAAGCCAAGTGTGTGAGCTTGATGTGTGTGTAATTGTTGCTGTTGTAAGCGCTTTTTACGCCAACTACAAATCCAGCTGCGCTCAGGCCTGGGATGCTGGCTCTGCTTTTACTCTCACGCCGCTCTCTCTCTCTCTCACTGAGTGCTGGTTTGTGTGTTTTTGTTGTTTGTGCGTGGCTTGCATAAAACGCAACCCAATAAACATTTCTCCAGACATCTAATGCAATTAACTTTTCAATGTCAAGTTGCGACGCGTTTGGCGCTTGGCGCTGCACCCACACACAACACACCGACTGACAGCGTGGCTTTCTATTAGATTTTACTATAAATATTAATAACATACCTGCTTTTGTTTTGTGGAGTGCACGTCATCCCTTCATCGTTAAAGTTTGAATTGCTTTTCAATTGGCTCGAATTTGTGGTCTGATATGAATGTTGTCCAAAACGAAAAGCAAGAGTCCGGCTAGCGGCAAGTGTGGGTGAGTGCGAGAGAGGGGTGCTGTCAAACCAGCTGAGCGACAATGGAACGAGGCGAAAGAGACATAGCGAATGATGTTTATGACGTCATTAGTGACCCCGCAATTGGAAATATGGGAAGCTTGATCAAGAGGTGCGTTTTCGTAGCAGTGAGCTTTTAAGCACGTACCGATCAGTTTTCAGGTCAGATTTGTATGTGCATTGCTTATTTTTAAATATATTAATGCTTAAGCACTCTTATAATAAATAAATAAAACAAACAAAATACTAAAAGAGAATAAAATTTCATTCTATTTTAAGTGCAGTTCTGTTGCTCAAATTTCTGTTCGTACGCTGAGCTGAGCAGAGCAAGAGTGACGTCAATATAGAACGCAATGTATCGATAGTTTTGTTGTCATGTGCATTAGTAAGCGATATATCGATGTTTGCTTGGCGCGACGAAATCAGTATTCAAATTATAAATAGTTACATAGTTTTGCGATAAGCTTTATTATAGATTAAGAAAAGTCTAATTAAATTGAATAACTAATAAAAATATGTATATAAATTATTCAATTTAACTAATTAAAGAAAACATTTTACCATTTATCTTTTGTATAAGAAATAAAGTATATTTTGCTATATTGATTGCCATCCCACCACGCCTTCAATTCAATTCAATTGGTTTCTTCTCTTAGCTTGCGAGTATGTGTGGAATTACAGCAATCCAAGCCAGATAGAAGAAACTCGCCCAGCCACAGATCAAAAATTAGATAACCACTCTTGTCTTTGATAGGCTTTATTATGAAGTTAGAAAAGAAAACTATTGATAATTGCATAAATAATAAAGTATACATGATTTATTCGACTTAACTTAGGTATGCATTTATAAAATTAGCTAATACGAGTACAGGGCGAGTCTACTTAACTAATTTAACAGAACATTTTCAAGCACAAAAAACAAAAAAATTTCTCTACCATATTTCTTTTGTACAAATTTCTTCTGTGCAGTCGATGAACATACAAACGGACATCAATTAAACTATATACATTTATTTAGATTTTATATTATGAATGAAATGTAAAATAATATATGCGGGCCAAACAGCAACAACAAAAATTGCTATCTCGCCACGCCTAAAAATACAAAGTTGCTTAAGAAGTCTAAAGTAAATATTACTTGTTCTGGCTACAAAGTCATTGTTCATTATATGATTTTGTTAATGGATATATGTGTGTGTATATATATATATAGAAACTTTACAGCTTTCCTAAAACTAGTGTCTTCCATTATGTGTTCTTTTCTCTAAGTGTACTTGCAGACAATCAAGTATAAATTATGCTTATCAGAATCTCAATTGTGCAGTTAGAAACTACTTTAGCTTGTGCGGATGTGGTGGGTTATCTTCTTCTTTTTTTGTCATATCGAAGAGAGTTTTCGTCATTTCGATTACTTCTCGTTCTTGAGGGGAACACCCTCCTCTTGAGCCACATCACTGATCTTCTTGCGCTCGGGTGGATTATTCCACGACTGCAGCTCGCCAGTGCCAATGATGACAAAAACAACAGCTGCCGAGATATAGGTGCCCGCCAGGATCCAGAAGACAATTTGCCATTGATGGAACGAGGGCTAATCGAAAATAGAAACAATATAAGTATTGTTGCTCTAAAGGTGATTGGAATGGTTTACTCACATCCTCGAAGGTCAATGCACCAACCATCCACGTGGACAGGAATCCTCCGAAGGATGACAGAGAATTGGCCATGCCGAAAATGGTGCCGCTAAAGTTGGGCGCAATATCCAAGCCATTGCCCAAATATCCAGCAGTAACTGCTCCATGTGCAAAGAGTGCCAGTGTGAAGATCGCCACAGACCAGGTAGCATCCATGCCCAGAAATACCTGAGCTATCATCAGCAATCCGGGAGTAACAAGTGCTGCAAGCAAGAATTCATTTATTAATTATTTATTTAATATAATTATGCGAAGCTTAACTTTTCTACATTGCATTTTCAAATGATAAACCTACCGAATGTGGTGAAGATCTTGCGAGTTGCCGTTGTGCTCAATGTGCCCTTATGTCGCAGATGATCGGCCAGATAGGAGGAGGCGACGGCCATCACATACTTGCCCAGATAAGGCAGCGATGAGAACAAACCATTCTGCAAAGTAAATACAAAATCTACTTTAAATAACCATTCACAATAATTAAGGATACAACTTGAAACGCACCTTCTTGATGTCGAAATGCAATATCTTGGACATGAATGTGGGCAGTTGATTGATCACCGTGAAGAAACCAAAGACGGAAAGGCCGTGTGTGATGATGATGGCCCAAACGGCAGGGGAGCAGAGCAGTTCACCCCAGGGCACATAACTGGGTCGCTTCTTCGAGGTGGATGTGCCAATGGCCTCCTCAATCTCACGCCTCTCCTCGGCCGTAATGCGAGGATGCGTCGCTGGGGTCTCGTAGACAAAGGTGAACCAGCACAAGGACCACAGCAAACCAATCGCTCCCGTCAGATAGAAGACACTCGCCCAGCCACAAACCGAGATTAGATAACCAGAAACGGGCATCGTTATCGCAGCACCCAAGGAAGAGGCTACAATTTATGAATATGCAAAAAGAAAATGGAGTTAAAAAATATGTTAAAACATCAAAAATAAATGGAATGAAATGCTTCAAAGTTGCGAAAATTAATTCAAATTGCATCGCAGATAATTCGATGATTTAAATAGCTTTTGATTAAGTCTTAAGATACGATAAAATAAAAATTTAAATAAAATGTGTAGCCGATTTCTAAAAGCAATGATTTTTTAAGTATGGAAATAATTACAATTCATGGAATAAAACTACTTTTAAAATGATACTGATTCAACCTTTTCTATATGTTATATTATATGAAACATTGCAAGTCCATTTACTAAAGCAGTTTTTTACAATAAGAATTGTTGAGTACTCACCCATCATGTTGGACATAAATTTGGAACGGTCCATTGGCGGTATCCAGACAGCTGCCACAGGATGTATGGCTGGCCAGGATGCGCCCAGCATGAATCCGAGTGCGACACGGACAATGATCAACATCACGTAGCTCATATGGGCTGCCAGGGGTGTTATCAATGTTAACAAACTGGCCCACAACATGGAATGTCCGAAGACGCGACGACCGCCAATCAATTCAGCGAGACGACCGCCTGGCAGCTCTGTAAGGACATAGCCCCAGAAGAAGCAGCCCAGCACAAAGTTGGTCTGGTATGTGTCCCAGGGAAAGCGTTCCTCAAGCACATCCACACCATCCACCGAGGTGATGTTGCTCAAGATGCCATTGGAGTTGCTCGATATGGAATTATTCCCAGCCAGTTCTAGACTGCTGTTCACCTTTAGAGTACTGTTGGCAACTGTATTTGTCACATTTGGCATAACCATGTCCACAATGGCAATGGTTAAGTTTACTGCAGGAGAGATGGCAATATTAGATGAGTAAAGTTGGTTGAAGATGTTCCCATATTTCAGGCACTTACCTCGCAGCGCATAGTTCAACATAAAGCCGAGCATTGTCAGCAGATTCAATACTTGACGACATGATAGGAAGTCTGTAAATAAAGCAAAGAAGTTGCTAGATTAGTTAAATAATATATATTTAAAGAACTAGACAAAGTTTCGAAATAATAATCCATTTATATATATTAATTATTTATAAGAACGCTTTGCTTTCTGCATTGAATTTGTGACCTTCTTTTGATGTGCAGGAAAACCATATTTTAATATGAATATTTACGGAATGAATACAAATTGTGCAAAAGACTTTCCAGAAATGTGATCTATTGACCGCCAAGACTATTCATAATTGTGTTTTTTGATTGTTATCAAAAGTAGACAACGAATGATTAGTTTTAATAGGTTTCTTGAATGGCTCGTGTGGAATATTTCTAGAGGGCAAAAGGAAACGGCTGATAAGAAACCGCTCTTGGATCAGAAGTTCCAATCACGCGTCGAACCAACTCGAACCGGATTAATATATATATACACATATATACAAGATGTATAAGTTTTGAACGAGGAATTGAGAAACATCTACCAACATCTACCTGGGAACGAACGAGTGCTGTAAATATGACTGATGTAATAATTTGTTTTTATTACATGAGGCGCGATAAGCGCATTTATTAACTTAATTAACGATACGATAAAACTCATTAACAAGCAAAACTAACTGTCAATTTTTGACCCAAATACCATAAATGTATGTTTATCAACGACAATAAACATAAAATTGTACATCAAAGTTATCCAGTTACAAGCGATGATTCAACGCTGATTTTATTGCTATTAATTATCATTGTTTGCATCAATTTGGTCATTAAACGTTTAAGTTTATTTCTTCTTAAAAACTTGGTTGTTGTCTTCGTTAGTTATTAGCTAATAAAGTGCAAAAGTGCATTGTGTTTGTAATAAACAAGATATGAATACCCTTACTATGTGGGAAAGGAAGGCTGTATCACTCAGAAAAACAAAATGTATTCTTAAGTCTAATTAATTACAGTCTCATGTCGACAATAACAACAACAATATATACTGCCCAATAAAAGGGTACACTGCAATAATAAAAAAAAAACTGCACTCAATCGGGATGATGGCATTGAACCCCTTTAAATTTGCGACAGTTGCGCGTGTGCATAAATTGTAAAAATTGTTTCTGTTGTTGCTGCTATATTAATAGGAGCCGGCAGCAAAAGCCAGTTTTAGCCGCAATCAAGCAAACCAAAGTGGTGCCGAGAAAGCGGCTTGCAAAATAAAAATAATAATAATAATAATAAAAAATATAATGGTTTAACAATCGCGTCGTTATCAATGGGAAGTACGAAGTACGATTACCCTCCTGTTCCCCACAAAGCCAGGCCAGACAGGTGTGGGGCTTATCAGAGTGCTCGTCTGGCGACAGTCTGGAGGGGCTTTATTTAATGCTAATCATATGCAAACGCATTCAGGTACGCTTGTAGCTCAAAGACACAAAACCAAAAATAAAACAACCATTTCCACTTGACATTCAAATCAGTTAACCCCAACAACAACAACAACAACAACAAGAAAAACTAAAACAACCAATCTTAATCCCAACAGTGAATGTCTTGACTGTCTAGCGGCTTTTTGTAGTTTCTAGAATTTAACAAAAAAAAAAAAGAAGGAAAACCAGAAAAACGTGCAACGAAATACTTAAACAAAACAAAAAAAAAGAAATCATAATAAAATAATGTCATGTGCTAATGATCATAAGCATTTTTTAGACGAATCATAGTGCTGATCCCCGACGACCTTCACAATCAGTTTTTTGACTTTGGAGCAATATAATTTTTGGGAAATTTTCAATATGTTTTTGACTTGGGCTTTAATTGAAAGTCCATGCATCATTTTTTGCATTTTTTTTTTTTTTGGGAGGGGCTGAACGTCATGGAAAACTTTGGATGAATGGCACGACAAATATAAATTATAGTATTCGCAACGTCTACTTTATAAGTATTAATCATGACACTCTTAAATCAATGCTAAGTGAACGTGTTGTCTCAAAATTGTTGGTTGACAGACGGCTGATAAGAGCACGATTCAACGGCCAATGTTTATTTATAGCAGCTTGACGAGAATTGGGAATTGAGAATTGCTATAAATATTATTTGAAATTGCATTTTTATTACAAGTCTATATAGATTATACCGGAAATGACAGACTGAAGTGATGTAATGCAATGACAGCAGAGCTAAACTGCAAAAATAAGCAAAAAATATATGAAACAAAAGTGAGAAATAAAAATGATTGAAATTTAGCTGTATTATTAGTTAATAATAATATTTATTGCATCTTTTTATACCTTGCCAAGAAATAAGTTAAGTTAAGTTGTTATTTTAAGATATTTACAATGAAAGTATTTTTTTATTTTTTCAAAATTACGTTAAAAAAAAAAATTGTCCTCTGTTGAACTCTGTAACACTGACAGCTGTACTGACAGCCTTGACTCATCCACAGAAATTTTAATGCTTTCCAAGAATTCTCAATGTGGTTTGCCTCTGAGCAAGTTTATTTTTGATTAATTGTGTGAAACGAGATCCACACCGGTCAGAAGTAAACTCTTTCTGATATGCTTTTGCAAAATAATTGAAGAATTCTGTGTTTTTACAATGAAAAGAGTGAAACAAATTGAAGTTATGGAATAAAAGCCATTGTAATAATAATGAAAATAATCTTTAAAGCTTTATTAACTTAGTCAAAGGCAGTCGGCAATTAAACGCTGAATAAAATTTTGTTTTATTTTTGGTTTGCAAATAAAGCGAGGATCTGCACTTTAGCATTTATTAGCTTTCGCTTTTAAGCCTGACTGAATATTGAAACAATTGAATTTGCTTACTTAAGCAGCTAAAGAGATAAACAAGTTTTAAATCTTAGCCGAAAAGTATTCGAGCATAAAACGATCATAAAAAAACGGATGCTTAAAAATAGCCACGAAAGTGAAGCTCATTAAGAAACGGACGCAACAAAAATGCTCGAAGGCAATAACAAGTTGAAGAAATGCAAACAATGTTTTTGGGGCAAGCGTGATACTAAAATTAAATGCTAATTTTAGCTGCAGCAGCAGCAACATGAGCCCAAAATATATTTATGCGCATGCAATATTCAATATTTGATCTCAGCTTTGAGTCATTCAACAGAGAGCTCGTTGAGGTGATAAATAATTTATTTACATATATATATATGTGAATATACATATATATAAAAAAATAAAAACACTTGCCAATCTTTTTGCACTTGTTTGACCGAGGTAAAAGTTTGTCATAATTATAATATACAACGGATTGAGCAAAGACGCATTTCCGGCTTTATATAATAAATGATAATTTGACGTACTTGAAAAATTGTGCATATTTTATTATATTCCATTGAACATTTTGATATTTTTACAATTTTGCCATCTATGTGGAGGAACAGTGAGCACGAGCTCATAAACCCATTGATGCATAGATGCTCCTCTATAAAAATTTTTGAACTTTGAAGAAATATTTTCTATTTTTGTATGCGCGTTTACTGACCTTCAAATTGGCAAAGAGATGGATCTATATATATATATATATATATATATATATATATATATGGAGATGGATTAGGTATTATATAGCCTCGACCGACAGTGGGACGCCGCTTGTTTAACTGTTTCTATTATTTATTATTTTCATTTTAAGTGTATATAAAAACGTGTGGCAATTATCCAAAGAACCATGTGATCTGTTATTTTCCAAATGGGAAATTTGTCCCCCAACCCAATATATCGACGTCATACGCGTTTCTATTATTTTGTCAACTTGCCAATATATTTTGATATATATATATATATACATTTATATATGTTGTTGTTGTTGCTATGTTTATAGCAGGCGCTCCCAAGTCACGAGCTCACTTTTCCAGGTATATATACCAATCTGGTATATATGTATATATATATTCATTCATTCAGTTACAGTTTTGTTTGCTAAATAAGTCGTTTTGTATTGGGGCTTGTTTGCACACTCGACAATTTCTTACTGCCGCAGTTTATCAGTGTCTGTCCGAGTGTCTGTCTGACAATCTGACAACAATTGGCATTGTTGACTCGACATTGTTGTTGCCTTCTAAATACAATTAATAGCTCGATTCTGTCAGTGTTGAACTTAACTCGTGGATACATTTCCGTTGCTAACTGATTTCCAATGCACAATTTTACGGAACTGGCCTTGTTTACAAAATTATTTATCGCCATTTATTGTTTATCCCATCTATAGACACATATAGTTTTTCATCATAATATAATAACTGGTTGTGTTAAAAAGTTTCATGCATTTAATTTACTTCAATGCAGTTCTCGGACAATTGTTGCACAAAAGTTTTTAAATTCATTTCATACAATAACTCAATTTGTATTTATCCATGGAATGCGGATTGTGGGCTTAATTGTCTGATTGTATTTTTATTTATTTTACATATATATATTTTATGCAGATACTAGACTTAATTGCAATTGTTCGGGGAATGAAAGAACCACGTATTTTGTTTGCCTTTAACATTGTCCTACTTTCGTTCCTGCCGGGGAAAATTCCATGACGTCCATGGAAAATTTCTTACAGATTGGATTCTCAAGTGTTGCACTTGTTGCGCTTTGGTGCAAAGTGCAGAAGGGAAAATTTGTCGATGACTACAAATCACATCTGATTTATGGCCCTTATATATATATATATATATATATATATATATGCAGCTGATAAGACAAAGTCAGCTGTTAATAATATTTATTTAACTTTTCGGGTTTTTTTTTATAAATATTATTCTGATCTCAACTAAGCAACTTTAATTGCTATTCTAATCGGCTCGTTAAAAGATAATTTTCGATTTGTATCTCACAGATACAGATACAGCTCGAGACGTGTGCCGATTTTATTGCCCTGTCATTTATTTGCGCTTATTATACAAATTGTCTCGGAATAGGGGGCTCGTCCCATAAACAGCTAAACTCAAAGATTACAGCGCCTGCCTGCCTGCCTGGCAAATATAATAAGTAAACAAACAGACAATTTAATGCCGACTATTTATAAATAGAATTTGCGATTACAAACTGGAATGGAAACGAATTCGATGATTTCATATTTTTCCACTCCTGAATAAAATATATTTATTATAAAATATACTTATATAAGCTCATTAAAGAATAGAAATTATGATTTATGATTTTTTTTTTGGGAATTTTATAGTCCTACTCATAGTAACAAGTACAAAAATATTGAATGAAACACGTGATAAAGATAGAGAGGAAGGAGATGGATTGACCTTCAGATACCCTGTAGACGTTGCTAAAATAAATTGATGAGTTTTTTTGTTGTTTATTTTGTGTACTTAAACAGATGAAACATTAAAAATGTGCAGTCAACTTGGAGTAGCTTTCTCAGCTGTATAATATTAGATGATGTTCAAATTACAGTGTGAATGATCTGAGCTAAGGCCAATCTGGGGCATGCTAGAAAAATCTATTTCAAATAATTTCTATAAGCAGAATTCGTTAATGTGGCTGGCTTATCGGACAAGTCAGACTTGTGTCCGCCGGAGCAGGGACAGTGATAGAGACATCTATAGAGACATTCGAATCAGAATCGTTTCAAAGTCGGCATTGGCTATTTGCATGCGCAGCACTTTTTTCTATTTTGTCTCGTTTTAATTTTCATTCACTTGATTTGATTAAATTAAACGATCAGTGACCAGTGACATTCTTGAACTTTGAGTAGCATTAGTTTTTTACTTTTTGTTATTGGGTTAAAAGTGTGCCATGGAGCGGAACAAGCTAACAATTTGTGTGTAGAGTAGTCTTGTGGTAAATACTGACTGGTTTTCGTTATCGATTTGCGTTGTAATTATGTGGTTGTAACAAAAAAAATTGAAAATAATAACAGATTAATTAAATCGACACAATAACGTGTTCAATTTCCAAGAAATCCCATTTAAAAAAAATTATTTTTAATTTTCTGCGACGTGCTTGCAACATGCATGCAACCAAAACTCGAATGAAATTAATTGATGCGTATTAAAAAAAAAATGATAAAGAAATAAACAGACAGAAAATAGCTCCACTAAATTTCATACTGAACAATGCCAATTTTAAGTGGCAATTGTGTAGCTGATAATACACATAAAAACACAGAACTTCGCCTGGCTTTTATAATTGAATTGATAATAACGCTGTAAATGTGATATGAAGTTGATATTACTCATAGGCTTAGCACAATTTGATTCATCAGCGGATAGCCACAAATTATGCAGTGTACGTTTCAAGCACTTGTTTCAAATGTGGTTTCCCAACAGCGGCGACTGTTGCTAAGATGGGAGACCTTATCAGGGCTCGATTGGATTGACATGTGTTTGTTGAACAAACATGTAATGCTGCTCTCGTTCGACGGGGAGATACCCTGAACCCACGTCTCTGTCTATTATAAGTATATACAGTATGTAAATAAGAAATGATTATGCTTGCTGCTGGGTAATTTGATAACATGAAAATACAATTTTCTTCCGTGTTTCTAAAACAATCTTGATAACTTTCTTACAGATATTTTAACAGATCAAGAATATATCAAGAATATATATACTTTATGTGATCGTACCTGCTTTCTTCTGTGTGTTACATACTCTTGCACTATTGCCCCTTCTACAAATGTTCTATGGAATCAGGTTATAAAATCGTGGCATTTTATTATAAATAATTTGTTACGCAGATGCACAAACGCTATAGAAATATAGATTATTATTTAAAAAGTCTCTCTGATTATCTTTGTGACCCGCTGGTGAATGATTTTGCAATTCATGAGTGAGCTTGTGATATATAACACTTATTTATATTACTAATACGTGTATTTAATTTATTTTCTAGACATGCGCTGTCTTTTATTTCCACATATTAAATAACATGAATCGCAGCTCACCTTCGCCAATGCAGTTTTTTTTTTTGTAATGCACATTAACATTTATTTATAGATATTGTATTTAATTATTTTTATTTTTATTTTTGTTACCTTCGGGGCAGTTAGTCAAGTGCATGGACAGGGAATAATCAAGTGCTTATTTTGCACTACGTGGACAATTTTGATGTGATTGATTGGCGTGGGTGTAAAATGCAATGCGAATAGCAATAAACAATGAACTGCATTGCAAAAAGTTATTGTCAGGTTTTTTTTTTTCTTTTTTCTAGAGAGTGCAAAAAATTAACATAATTAAATTGCGTTTTGCATTGAACTGAAGGACATTTGCCGTATATGTGTCACCAACTCGTGTGACTTAAGTCGTGCCATTCCCCTTCCCCCTTCCCTCTTCACTCTTCTCACCATCCGTCCTTGATTATTTGAGCTTGTGCTAATTGACAGCTTTTGTTACTATTTGGTTAGCACATCCGGTCAATCGAATAGGAAAGAGATATATATCTCTAACTATCATATCATGTGCACTCGTGCAGCCTCACGAGTTTGTCTGCAATATCTGTCTGTGTGTCTGTCAGTGTCTGTGGTCAAAAGTGCTAAATAGCTAAAATACTGAAATGTGCAACGCTGATTTGGCAATTAGTGTTTTTCTTTTTATTTATTTTCAAATTCATTCTATCGCGCAGTTCTGCGTCATACGTCTACAGCAATAATAATAACAAACAATGACTCTAATTGCAAAGCTATACCGTGGAGCAAAAAGTCAACAAAAAAACTAGGCAAGTGTAAAAGAAAAAAGTTTTGGATTATAACATTTTTGGAGCATTTCTTAAAATTGCATTTAACTTTTGAGGTTTTAAAAATAAAGTGTTTTAAGTGAGAATAAACTTTATTTCTAATAAATTTAAAATTCAATTTTCTACAAGACAAATATGTTAGTTGAACCCACTGTAATTGGTCGGCTACAATGTAAGACTTGGGTCCCTGAACAAGCCCAACCACAAAACAGTTGGTGGATGTAAATTGAGTTGACTTTGTCAAGCGACGTGCTCAACTGGCGTGACTGTGATAATTTGTTTGCATAGTGTATGGTATTTATGAGTAATCCTCCAGAATGTCACTGCAATGGCGTCAGAAGAGCCAACTGGACACTTCGAAACGTTATTGTCTCCGTTATGACAACAACACCCGAGCTAATGAATGAAATTTGGTGACGTCATAGCTAATATTGAATAATTGCCCGGGACTGACGCCCAGCTAATGATTTAAAGCTTTAGTACAAATATTATAAATTGGATATTTTTTTTGATAAACCTTAAAATACTACAAAACTGCTTTAATTTGAACTCCTTTGCACTGCTTGAATTGTTATTCTTTGCACTGCTTGAATTGCACTCCTTACAAATTTGAATTGAAGATGTAATAAATGCCGATTTATTCACTTATTTAATTGCTTGTGAATAAACAAAACATTTAAAATTCATTAAAATTTTAGCAAAAAAGCTGCAACAATTTTGTTTGCAAATTGATTACAGCTTACACACTCGAATACCCTTTGAATTCTTCGGTTCATTCATGTGCAACCTTCGAATTGAATTGTAACGTCAATTAAACTTGTCCCATTGACACCATTCGAAAACTGTCAACAGCATATGCCGCTATAAACGATATCGAGGGCCGGTCAACCCAATCAATTTCATTATAACTGAATTTCCAGTGCGTGTATTATTTGTAGTCTCAATTGAACAACGGGAACAATTAAAGTAGACACACACACATACAACAACACAAAAAAAAGGGGCTCGTCTTATATAGGGGTTGGCCTCTTCGACTCGTACAGTTGTCGCATATTTAAATAGAATATCTGCTGTTGTTGTTTTGTTAATTTACTTACTTCGTACTCTTTGTAGGCCCCGCTTCTCTGTGTTCGACATATCGCCGTTTTTCAACTAGAAATGAAAAGAAATATATATATCAGATATATCATGTGATATGCAATTGCGTGATATGTAAATAAGCCAATAATTACAGTTACTTATAATGAAAACCATATCTTATCTTATCAGATCGTCTCGTGCATTCGAGCTGCGACCGAAACGTGCGCACTTTTCATGAGTGATACCATATTTAAATTAACCTGATAACAATAGCGAGAAAAGACCAAAAAATAAAGGAAAAAAAAGAAAGGCTGCGCTACACATGACTCAGACCCGAAAAAGGAAGTTCGAAGATAAGTAAGCACATGATAGTTTGGACCCATTCATGGTTGAATATATTAAGATATGAATGAACTCCAAACAATCGCAGTTTTTGGTCTATAGTCCAAGACACTCAGCTGCTTATCGTCAATGATTTGTCTTTTCCGCCTCTTTAAACACTGCCGCCAAATATCCAATTCAAGTTTTATTCTTTTCTTCATCCCATATGTACTATATATATACATTTGTTATCTGTTCAAGTGGGCATGTGAAATAAAAATAAAGTGTCGCTTCATATCAAAGCCAAAGAAAACTATTCCTGGCGCCAGAGATAACTATAACTGATCAGAATGATAATGCTGTCAGTCGAACCAGCGATAAAATGTTGTAAAGTAAAAAATTACAATAATATTACAAAGCTGAAGTTGCTGAGTAATTGTCAGGTATTCTTTCAAAAATAAATATTTTGGAATTATATTATATATATATTTCTATTTTTCTACTAACGCTTTTTTCGCTGAGTGCAGTATGTTAATTTGTAAACTGCAACACATGTTCAGCCTCAGACTGCATAATAATCAGTGTCAAGTTCTAGGCAACCTAGCAACCAAAGCGCACCCAACAGTAAACATATGTACTATTTTACTATCAACAACGACAGTGAATGGGCCATTATAAAGACCACGAGAGCACCACACATTAAGTAAATTTGAATACTGTGCAAATATTTGGCAAACAGACTAAGCTCAAATTGCCAATGTGTGGGGGTGATTCATAAAATATACATATATATATATATATATATATAATATGTATAACTTATATATATATATATGATATGTATGTCTAAGCACTGTAAGCATTGTAACTGTCCTTGTTTAGGATGATTAGACCTCTGCGTGTTGCCATGTTATTAGCCGTATTGCCGGCCAATATATATTTATAATTAAATTTGTTTGACTGTGTGCCTTGGCCATTGGCTATATACGACATATGTTTGTATATACACGATATATGTGCGTCTATTTACCAAATATACATTCACACGCCAATTTATCTAAGCGTACGTCATTTGCTGGCTAAGCAGACAAAACGCGCCTTCGTCTCTTTATAAATATGCATTTATCAATATGTATCTGGAGATAGGCGAAAGTATCACAAAATTTTCTTGCCTTTGTTTTAGTATAGATGACGCATTATAAAACTAAATAATTAATCACAGAAGTTTACTTAATAACAAATGCTTCATTGAGCCCGAATTGCACTTTAACTAAAAATTTAATTTTATTAAATTTATGCTAAGTTTTTGCAAACTTAATCTTATCTCAACTGCTGAAATATTTAATTTAAGCACTACGCAGCTATTAAATATTTCATATTAAATTTATATACATATATATAGAACTAATCAATTAAATTATAAGCTTCTAACGGTTCAAGATTATTATCTTAATCTCTTTAAAAAAAAAATGCATTTATAATTGAAAATATTTTATCTAAGCACTTATAAAAATAAACTCAACCATTTTGTGTTTCATTTCTTTTACTGACTCAGTACTAACGGAAACTTTTTTTTATTTTTTAATTGAAAATAAATGAAATGTAAGAAATTTACATGAGACAAATTCCATTTTTAACAAACAGCCGTAAAAAAATGAGGCTAGGCAGGTTAATTATTTATTTCTAAGAATTTAGAAGTTTTCAAACCAAAATCAAGCAAAACGACCATTAATTTCCTGGAAAACTTGAGATTTTGTGTGAACAACTTATTTGAAACTCACCTTGAACTTGAGGTTGTCTAAAATGAAAATACAGCAAAAGATGAAATTAGCTCAAAACACGCTGATTAGCAATTTGTAAAGTGTTTAACATCAATTACGACGACAAAAATGCACGCGATTTGATTGTGATTGTTTTGAAACAAGAATTTACAGATATATTTCACTGTCACATATATATCTAAATATTATGTACAACTTATGTATTAAAAACACCAAAACACACACACACACAGAGGGAGAGAGAGAGAGAGTGAAAGAGACCCACGCGTTTGTATTACACTAATTAAATGTACATAACAGTGATTTTGCGTATGTTGTTGTCGTTTTTCTTTTCTTTTATCTTTGCGTTTCTTTAGCTTAGTCTTTGTTTTTAATTATTTATTTTTGGAAAATTTCTGAGGCAGCTGTGGTTGTCGGCGTTGAAAGAAGCACTTTTCGAGAGCAGCGCATGCGTTGTACAAAATTGTATTCAGCTAATTTCTCGAACTCAACCCAAAACAATTTTCGAGTTGCGCCTGTGGCTCTTTGCCTTCTGTCTTTTGCTTGTCTGCCTGGTGCCGTTTTATTTTTGCCTGAATCTTTGGCAGCTGCTTGATGACACTCCGATTGTTGGAACTGAACTGAAAATGTTGCCTGCACGACAGCCGCTTTTTCTTTGCTCACGAGCATGCGACGTTGCCAGCGCCAGCGACGCTGACGTCGACGCCGGCGCTGACGGCAGCGTTGACAGCATTGGCGCTCGGTTCAATGGGGCCGTTTTTACAATGGATCGTGTGTGTAGGTATTAGTGTTGACGACGATGTCTCTGCCGATGCTGTTGTTGTTTTTGCTGTTGCTGCTGCTGCTGCTGCTGCTGCTCTCATCGTCGTCGTGGGATGCAGAATTCAAATTTGTTGTGCTGTTTGTTTTATTTTTGTACTGTACCTTTTTCTGTTGCTCCGATTGTGCAGGGGGTGAGGGAGAGAGAGAGAAAGTGTGTGAGAGAGAGAGAGAGGGAGAGATGTGTGCTGTAAAGTTCGATCAACAGATCTGATAATGACATTTAATAATTTTCTAATTTTCAATCAAAAATATTTAATTCAATTCAATTAATTAGCATCAATTTATTATATATATAATATTAATGAATAATTAGGAGTTCAGGACTTGCAACATGCTTTGTGTCTAAATATGCTATCATCTATTTTTGGATGAGCAAAAATTAGCAAATGCCTAATAAACATAAATATATTAACAGATATAGGTGCGATTGCTATTAATTTGTATTTTTATTAGTATCTTTTGTACAGTTTTTATTTGTGTTTTTTCTTGAATGGGTTTTTTTGTTGTCCTAACTTAATATATTTTATATTCTAAGCAAAATGTTAACAAATAATGCTTTGATATTAAACTTAAACATAAAATTCCTATAACTGTGAAGTTTTCGTAGTAATTTTCTTTTTAAACAGGGTATTTCATAGTCGCACTGCTTGCCCCTGCCTATTTTGTTGATTTGTATTTCTAAACTTTCGGATAGAGCACGTGTAGAGCGATATTCATTTGATTTTTAGCATCAATTATCCAGATACGATCGATAATACTAAAATGGTATCCAATTAAAATGTTTTTCTTTTTGTTTTTTTGTTATAACTTCCGCATTATCTAGTGGGGGAAATCAAATGAAAATCATAGACTAGATATATGCGTATATGTATATTATGAATATATGCATACATATAAATGTATATATATATGTATATGTATGGGTGTGTGTGTAGGCTATATTGAGAAACGTGTCCAACGCTCCACCACTGGGACGGATAACCGTCGTGATGCGCTCATCGAAAATCGGGGCAAACTTCTCGGGAAATTTGTGTTGCAGGCAGCGAAAGACGGTGCCGGTGAGATAGTAACGGGATGGCCAACGGCACTCGCATGGTGGTATACACTCGGCACACAAATTCTCGCTGGCCATCCACTTGCTGTTCATTTGTGTCACACTCTGTTGCAGGTAGCTGAGGCGCCACGGCAGACTCTTATCGCGTTCGGTCCAATTGCACTCGCACGGCGGTATGCACATGTGGCATATTTGATCCTCCATACTCGGTACTTCATCACTCACCATCAGGCTCAAGGGTTCGGCGGGACAACGGTACATATTGTGACGTGGCACAAATGCAATTAGCTCCTTGTACTTGCGATCTAGCTCACGATGCAGCCACACATCCAGCATATCCCAGTGATCCAAGTTCAGTTCACGTTCGCGTATCAACTGCATACGTCTATAGAGATCGGAGCGACGCACTGCATCATAGTTGACACCGGACTGAGTGTGCCACAGCAAATATAGCTCGTTCGGCTTCTCATCCGGCAAGGACATGTTGCGCGAGAAACGCGTCAACTCAAAGTGGAAAAGCATTCGAATGCCGTACGTGATGTGCTTGATGTGCTCAAAGTCCGTGATATTCATCGCCGACAGCGCATCGGCATCGAGCAGCAGCAATTTCTTGCCCCAGATCATATTCACCCGAAAGGTGTTCTGTGGGTTTTGTGGTTGCAATTATAACAAGTAACTGGTAATAAATATAACTACATTTATAAAAAAAAATATACTTAAGTGACCTATTATATAAATTTTAGGATGGGCCCATTTTTTTCCCAAGTAATTAAACAGAGTTCTCAAAATAGTGGATCAGTTATCTGCCTAATATTGCATTGATATTTCTGTTAATTGAAATAGAAATTCCAATAAAATAGCCCCTATATGATGTGGCAAACTTACCATGTACTGCGGATAGCCGTAGCGGCAAATCCAACGCCTTATGTCCATGTCAGTCCACTCATAGATACTCGGCAGGGGCAGCTTGTCGACAACGTTGCAACACTGCTCGACGAGGGATGCGGGCGAGACCCGAAACTGAATTGGCCACGCATTGTGATCGAATTTCAGGGGACCTTCGAGCACGGCATTTTTTCGAAATTTAACTGGCGGATAATCAGTGGACTTTTTCTTAATGACCGTCTTCGTCACCCGAAACTTGGTGTCCGCAATCCCATACAGATAGGGCATTATCTTTCTATATATAAATCTGTATAAAGTACATGTATTTGTGAATAATGTAATGTGTATTAACTCAAAAACTCGAAATTTCGTTATGCTATCTAACTGAGTGCTAGAACGTAGCAATCTGCAATAAATTGTGTTTGTTACTTATGGATTTACTAGAATTTCAAGATGGGTGTCAAACAGTTGAGAATATCATATTATGTTTCATATTAACCCTGTTAGTTTGTAACAGAATGTTGACCTATTTTGTAGTAGTATTTAACAAACGCAAAATATTTAAACAGAGATGCGAAAAGTTAACATTTCAAACAAAGTTAGCAATTTCTAAAAAATTTTATAATTGCATAGAATAATTATTATTTAATATGGTATAGTATTTCAAATACTTTTTTGATAACAATTTATCTTTTAATTAACATCTTAGATAATGATATTGAGAAATCTTATAAATATTTAATATTTTTTAATCTAAATTTAATTTTCAGATTTTATTTTTAATATTATTTAATCTATTTACTAGCTTTTGAATTTGTTTTTATTTGACATTAAATAAATAGATACAGGGTATTCCAAACAAGCCTTAGCGCCATCGTCTCAAGTCTTCCTACTTATTGGCTACTATGCTTTGTGCGCAGTTTCGTAAACAACAGTTAAAAAATACTGTTTGAAACTAGCAAAACTCTGAATGCAGCTGGCACAACATTATATATATATGTAATATATAGCTAGGCTTAGCCAAAGCCGGGTCGAATTCCCGGGCTAAGCCAAAGCCATTCACGTAAGAACTGTGACACTTTGTCAAAAAAATATGAGAAGAAAAATTCTAACATCTGCCCATCTGCACCACTGTCAATTAATGGATTGTGGCTGTACCGAAAATGTGAGTTATTGCCCAGGTAGAATCCATCAATTAGTTCGTTTTGGCCATTTGGCTGTGTTAACGGTCTTGTCTATATGTATTTATGTATGTGCGTATCTGTCAAAACATGGTCAAGGGCATCGCCTTTTTGTTTTTATTTTTATTTTTATTTTGAATTCGTGTTTGTTTTTAGCTGTTTACGGTCTCTGATCGCTTGGGGCAACTGACTTGCCGTGAGTCATCAGAAAATAAAATAAAAAACTCATAACAATTTAAAAACTCACGTGACGCTCATTTTGCGGGTTATTTTTTTCAAAACACGTTTGGAATTTACATAAATGTTTTTTTTTTTTTTTGTTAATTCCGTTTTGTCTTTATCAACCACTTGAGTTAAGCAAATGTGTTCTGTCTGCTCATTAACATGTGACTGTAAATTATTCGCGTGAAGCATTGAAAAACACACACACACACACACACACACACCTTGCCCAATAACTGAAACTAGAATATTGTAAATATATTTGAAGAGTCTGTTTTGTTAATTAAGAATTGCCATTGGGAAACTAAGCAATTAATTTGCCCAAGCAACAATTACGTACTGTACTTCGAGAATGCATAAGTTGTATATTATATGTATATCATTTATCAGTCAGGCGACTTGTAAATTACATGGATCATGCTAACAGCAGACGTTCGTCTGTCTGGCAGACGAATCCATAATTAACAGCCCCAGCAATCGCAGTTCCACTCCAGTTCCAGTTGCAGTTGCAGTCCCACTTCCAGTTCCAGTCTGTCGACCCAAGCGATTAACAATGATGGCACCTCGAATTGTTGAACTCAGCTTAGCTGAAGAATTCGTTTGCTAAACTGTAAAGCTTCATTGTAATGTAATTTTTTTAAAGTTTTTTGGAATATAATAATAATAAATAATAATATAAGTAACAGAACCAAACTAATATAAGAATTCTTCTCATAGGAAACCACACTCTGGAAATTGGGCATTTTTGCTCAAAAAATCAATCCTAAAACTTACAAAGCCACAAGCATAAATTTTAGAAATTTATTATTTTTTTATTTTATGTAACAAAATTTACTAAAATTTAGGAAAGCTAGTTGAACTTGCATTAGATAATAATAAATACTTATATATATTTTGTGTTCATCCCAACGACTGTCTACTGTACTTAACTAGAATGCCGCAACAAAAATACATTTCACTTTCGTTTAAAAAAGAGGAGCTTGTAAACGTTTTTTTTTTAAACGCTGTAATAGAGGTGTGTACAAAGGGGGCGTGGGTAGGGGGACGGCAATAACTATAGACAACAGCAACATAGTAACAGCAACAACAACAACATCAATAACAACAACAACAACAAAACAACGATGAAAAATGAAAATGATATGTCCATGTAAGGGCAGCAAGCGAGGCAACGCGACGCGTCAGCAGCAACAATAAATTAAGATTCTATTTTTGTAGCTAACTTGAATTACAACAACAACTGCTGCGACTGCTGCTGCTGTTGCTGGTCAACTGTTGGCCAACTTGGCCATGCAACAAGTTAGACCTAAAATAGAAGCCACGAGGAATCTCGAACTGAATCTCTGTACACACACACACACACACACACATACATATGGATATGCAAGGCAACATGAAAATTAAAAATGCAAATAAATTGTTAACGTATAAAGCGCAAATTCCAATGCACAAGTGTGTGTGTGTGTGTCTGTGTTTGCTCAACGGTCAACAGCAACAGCGACAGCGACGCAGACAGCGACAGCGACAACGACGGCGTCAGCCACTTGAGGAGGCCACTTCGGTCACGATTTCACATTGTTTGACCAGCAGCATAAAGCTGACTGCGCAGCCAGCTGAGCAGCATCGTCATGCGACGAGCCTCCTTCGCTGTTTGCTTTGCTGCTGCTCCCAAGTGGCCATCACATGCATGCGCATGTGTGCGTGTGTATGTGTGCGCGCATGTGAGTGGAGTTTTGATTGTTTCTTGTTGTTGTTCAGCTTTGAGCAGCGAAGCTTTCGCGACATTGAGTTATAAGAGCAGAGCAAATGATGAAGCTGCGAGCAGCTTTGAGTGCTTCTGCGTGAGTGTGAAACTTCGTTAATGTCATCTCTCTTTTAGTAGTTACATTGAGTCAGTTTCAAGGCAAAATGTGTGTGAGAGAGAATGAAGAGCAGCAATGAGTGAAGCTTCAGCTTTGAGTGTTGTATCTAAGTGAGTGCAAAACTTTTTGAATGCCATGTTTTTATAGTAGTTACCCATTGAGTCAGAGTGAGATGGAGTCGCAACTGCTTTGATTATGATGCCAAGAAATTTAATTGATGGCAGCAAATGCAATGCTGGCTGTAATTCTTTAAGGCCATGTCTTTGAAGCTGTCCTTATGCATTTTTTTTATGATTATTTGCGCTTTGCTTGTTACTGGCAATTAAAGCACATATGCAAAATGGAATAGGGAAAATGAATGGAATTTGCAGCAAAAATTCCAATAAAAACTTTATAAATTGGAACATCCTTCTGCTTTGCTATGCGCATTACTCATCCAAGGCTGTCTGTCCAACGACATTGTTATTTGTATTTAAAAATTTGGTTTGCTTTGTTTTTTTGTTTTCTACAATTTGTTTTTCTATGATTAATCGCTTGTTTGTTGTTATTGAAATGGCTTTTTATAGACGCAACAAAATGGAATTGTAATTTATTATTATTGTCAGTAATTGTTAAGTGTTATTTTTAATAAGCTCACTTTGCCATCAATTATTACCTAAACATATTAAAATGATTGTGAAATATATGCCGCTATTATTATTTTTTGCTCCAGTGCAATTGACACAATTACATTTTATTGCCACATCACTTTTAGAATTTGTAAATATATATTCACCTTTTTATATTCAAATATCATTATTTGCTCATGTATGTATATAGCAGCTATATGTGCTGCTGGCTGACTGTCTATTTTCAGCTGATATATATATATATATATGTTTGTATGTATCAAAAACGCACGAGTTCTCAGTTTGTGTGTTTTTTTCTCGTCGTATTTCATTTTATTTTGCTATTTGATTTTATTTGTCGTCGTTTCTTTGCGTCACGAGAAACGCGTAGAAATATAGCCGGGCCCCCTAATGCTATGTGTGTCTATATATACATATATATGTATATATAAATATACAGAGATATAGAGATGTTTATACATACATGTATATGTGGGATCGTCTCAAAATTCCAATGGAAGCGGCTATTTTATTTTGTTGACTGTTGCCAACACATCAAAAATAATAGAATGCAAGAAGGAAAGTAAGATAAAATAAAGATCATATAAAGTATTTGGAGTCTTTTTTATTTAAGAAGGAATCTTACGAAATGTGTTATGATAAGGAAACGAATCCTAAGTACACAAATATTTTACATAAAAATTTGATATAATTCATAGAAAAAAACTATATTTAAACCTACTATTCATATTATATGATTTATAATATTTCAGAGTATTTAATTAATATTTCATCATTACTAGGGATTTTATAAGCTTCCCTCATAAATAATAATGCAATCTAGAAAACCCTGTCAATCAAGTATGAATAACATTCGAATGTGAGCTGATTAGAAAATTACGTATCAGATGAGAATTTCGCATTGTGAGAGAAAATAGCAAAACTGCCTCGTGCAAAATGCCACTTGTGATCATTTGTTGATTTTCTTCTATAATATAGCATGGAATCTGTATTTATTTGTGATGACTGCTGACGCACCCATCGGACTATTTACTAAAGTCCAGCCCATGAACTAGTTGCTGACGTCGTTTCAAAAACAGACAACAAGAGTTTGTGTAAAGAGTCAGAGAGCTCGACTTGCAGATACCCTGTAACACCAAACAAATTGAATGGCAAGCGCATTTGGAGACAATAAATGTTGGACTGTTTTGCGTTGAAATATCCCTCGAAATCTCTATAAATATTTCGTATTTTCTTAATTTAAATTAAATATTGAACTTTGTTAGTTGCCGTTATATAAATAAAGAAACTACTTTGATAAGGCATTAAATCAGCTGTGTGGCAAGCTGCAACCAGATGCGGATGCTTTTTGCTGATGCCTGTTGCTAATGCCTTTTGCTGATGCCTGTTGCTGATGCCTGATATTGATCGTGATCCAATCGAGTGCAGTTCGAATGCGCGCATGCAAATTATTTAATCAATTGAAGAAAAAAAAACAGCGCTGAGAAATCTCTCAATTGATAGTCAAATGCTCAGCTCAAATGAGTTCAATTGTCGAGTTATCTGCAGACAGTCTCAATGAAGGGGGCGTGGCTCAATCCGGACAAAGGCGTAGCGCGTGCGGCAATTTTAATACCTTTTTCCAAAGGGTATTCAAATTCTGTGTTGAGCTCTGTAACGCATTGAAGGAGTTTGTCTCCAACAGCGATTAACTCTATACATATATTGTCTTGATCAGCCGGATTATATATATATATATATATATATATGCAATCTCATCGCTTAGTTTTATCTTCGATTATTTGCCAAGGGTATTTAAGCTGCGGTGTTTTTTAGGTTCTTTGTTGCTTTCAAAGTGTTTTGTTATGATTGTGTGACATGTGCATTAATTGATTAATAACAATTCACATTCAAGTTCAAAGCTATTAAGAAAACACAAACAAAATGCAGAGCAATTGCACTTTTAAGTGTGTAAATATTTGAATAGCAATTTCGACTTCAATTTGCTGTACTTGAATAAAACAAATATGCTAAATGAGAGCTCTTAACGAATTTCCACTTACATTTGCATGAAGATAATTCAATTAATCTCCACTTGTTAGCCATGTCGAGCAACTTGACTAAAACTGCACAGATATCCAAGGAATTTGGCACAGACACCAAGCTAATACAATTTAAACAGGCTTGCAGATTGTATCTTTGCCTAGCATTGCACTAATTTACAGATACTATATTCATATGTGTGTTGTGTGTGTGTGTGTGTGTGTGTGTGTTATGTGTGTGTGTTGTGTTTGTGTGTGTGTTTAGTCAAAATGTGCTCATTAGGCAAACGCTTGACTCGTTGCCAGCTGCATAGAAAGCAGAACCATTGCTTATGGGTCGGTCAGGTGAGCACTTATTAGTTTTGGATAGGCTAGTTCCACTCAGATGGTGAGTGGGGCATATGTAGCAACAAAGCCATAAATTCAACATTTATAAATGTTGTTACCGTTTAGTCGTAAGGGACATCCACATCTTGGCCATGCCAAAGTGCAAAGCCATTTTCGGCTTATACACTCAGAGGAAAATTACCAAGTGTACCAAAAGTGAATTTAATATTAGTATTCTAATTCAGTTATAGTTTAGCTTAGATAGTTTATAAATTTATATAATTTAATTTGAAACTTTAGCAGAGAACAGCTGAAAATACCCTTTACGAATTTCAGAAAGGATTTTTCTATTTATAGCCTTTTAGAAATAGTTTCTATTTACAAGAGATATAGTTTTGAAAAATAGAAACTAAGTTCTTCTAATTCGAAGACATTTTTTACGCATACTTAGAAAGTTATTTCTAAAAATAATCATAAAAATCAAGGCAATATCCTAGGAAAAGCGCACTTAATGTGAACAGTGTCTTGATTCACCTGCCGACAGTTGGGACAGTGAATTTTGAATCCAACTACTCGTTTGGCTTACAGCTGTCATGAGCCAACTGACGGGAGCGTATAATGGGTATTCCGTTTTACGCAAAATGCATTTGGTTGTCTTTCCCCAACCTGGATTTATATTACCTGTCTCGACTGTCAACGTTTACCCGACTAACCGTACAGTAGTAAATTTATATATCTGAATGTTATTGCATTGCCCAAGTTTGGATTCGAATCGTGCTCAGAGGGAGTTTAGTAATGGTTGATATAATCTACTTTTTTAATACAATATATATAATCAGATGTGTCATTTTAGTCATTTCACAAAACCTTACTTTTCATTACAATTGCAATTTTTAACATATTCTATATATTCAACAATTGAACGGAACAAGTACAATTTCTATTTTATTTTTAACAACAAGTTCATACTTTAAATTTGATAGGTAGAAGATGCACAGATCTAATCGCGACTTAAGGCCAATTGCACTAATGGCAGCACCTTAATCGACGATAGGTCGGCCAAAATGGCTTCAATGCTATCGAGTGATGACACCTGCATTATGCTGTCCTTACGAAAACTCAATATAATGATGGCAAATAGCGGCAATATCTCCAAGCTATCAAAGCCGAGTATCTGCAAATGTGACAAATTATGAACGAAGATGTTTTACAATTGAAATAGATGCACTTACCAAGTCCCACAACACTAGCAACTGATCCGGTGGCAAATGGCCAGAGAAACCGCGCATTAGCCACTTGAAAACCACTCGTAAGCTATATAAATATATTTACATAAAAGTTAAAAATATTATTCAATAATATTTTGCAATGTGAACTTACGGCTGTATTTGTAGTTCACGAAAATGGGACCACAACTGCGGCTCGTATGTTTGAAGTAGCTTCTCGAAGAGCAGACACAGGCTGACAATACCCTGTGGATGCGTATTAATTGTGGTCAATCGGTGGCAGTAGCGTATGTAGAAGGCCCGGAATGTATAATAGAGACACACAGGCGAATCGTAAAGATAGCAAAAGGGCGCTGCAAACATGCAGATGCCGTGAAAGGGCACCACACCCGACGGTGGTCCCTCATAGGTTTTGCCCTTGACGGGAAACGTTTCGTATTCCACACAGTTGGCAATGTCCGTGTCGCGTGAGAAGCACAACAGCACCTGGTAGAGCACATCCTCGAACACAAAATACTGATCATCATTGGAGGCCGTCAGCTGTATATCCTTAAAGACGAGCTTGTCCACAATGTGATCGGTGGTCCAAACACTGTTACGCAACTTTTGCCAATTATCAATGTCCTGTGGGGATTAAGTAAGAATCAATTAGTTAATATTGCTTTTGATTATTATGATAATAAAATAAATCCACTCACATAATCATGCAGCTTGCTGTCTAGCACCGAGGCCCAAAGGGCACCGCGATACGGTGCCGGAGTACAGCCCTTCTTCAAGTACTGCTGGCACATGGGCGCATGTCGGCTGTCCAAGATGCGCTGGCACTGCATCGCCAGATCGGGTACACTGTACGGATCGCTGCGCAACAGTTCCGCATAATGTGTACGCAGCTCGAACAGATTTTTAACGGGCAACGCAATGTGCGAAAACTCCCATTGCGGTATTTGACTGCAGTTGAAATATCATTAAAAAAGAAAAGAAAAAGATATCCAGTTGGATAGAACCTACTCTGTTTTCTCTGTGGGCCTGGTGGGACCCTTAAGCGAGAGTAGAACCTCCAACAAGTCCTTGGGCGCATATACTGGACGATAATTGGCAAGATCTGTGGGATTAAATTGTTAGATTTGTGTAAGCATTGATTTTAAATTTAGTCCTGACTGTGATTAGATATAAGTAGTGCAGTGACTTACCCATGTTGTAGTTGCTCAGCTCATTCCACTTGGCCACAAAGTCTTCGCGATCGGCGCTGATGCGCGGCTGGCCGTGTAACGGTACCTTTAGCTCACCGCACATTGCATTGAGGCTCTTGCGGACACGCCGATCCCACAGGACACCGGCACGCTTCAAATAGCCGAGCGGATCGCTCTGTGCAGATTTCTACGAGGAGTATGAAGGGGTATTCCTTTTGAAAACATTCCGAATTTAAGAGAACTGCAACTTACAGTTGTTTGTCTGCCATCGGCAACATCGAGTCGTTTCAAGCGACTGCGCACCAGATTATATATCATATTACGGATCTCAGTCTCCAGGCCGGCCGCCTTGATAGCATCCTCGAGCGTGTTGCGCATATCGTTCTTATAAACATTGGGACTGGCGACCAGTCGCTGCAATTCCTTATAGATGGGCTCATAGCACTTGGCACTCTTGATCGCCGCAATTACTTTGGCAGTCATGTGGTGTATGCTGCTATCCTGCAGCTCCTCCATGACTTGCTACTTGCCAGTTGCACCGCTTTACAGATTGCGTACGCTTTGCCTCGCTGTGTGGTTATGCTGCTGCTGCTGTTGCTGCTGCTCCTATAAAGCCGAAAACATTTGGCGCATTCGAAAAGTCGCTTGACTTTTTATCGATCAAACTTTGCGTCGCCTGCTTTGATTCCCATTCAGGTACAACTGAATGAATGTTTATGTGTGTCTGTTTGCATTTGAAATAGAAAACTTTTGAGCGCTTCTTAGTTACGGAATGCAACCACTTGTTTAACAGTGCCGCCCTCGCAACGAACACAACACCCCTCGCCGTTCTGGTATTTATTAGAATTGCACAGCCCATTGGAACATGTATGTATGTGTTCGTAATAAAAACTTTTCGATTGATAGCGTTCAAGTTGCAACTTCTTTGTTTGACAGCTAATTTATCGATAAGCAACTCCTGACTGCGAGCTATCGCTGGCTGCGGTTTCATAGCGGCGAGCTTTTAAGAACAGTTGAATCTTTTAGCTACATGAAAAAATCATTATTTATTTGAAATTTTTATTGATTCTTAAACATTGTATCTCATATAATGTATATCAAAGATATGGTAACATATATGGAGCAGGTTTTATTTATTTATTTTTTTAATTCAACATATCTTTTATTGTATAGGAATAATAATTTATTTATCTGCATTAATTGTACAAATAATAAAATTGATTTATTGAATTTAATGTGGCAACCACAAAGCTACTTATTGTTGGCGATTTATCCAATGGTTAGTCTATGAACTTTGATATCGTTTCCCAATTCCAAGAATTTTGCAATTAGAAAATCAGACAAAAACGCTTTACCAAGCGACCTGTAAATCAAAGGGGCAAACTTGCTGCCCAAGGCATATGGCGCAGTCCCATTGGTGCCCAGAAAGTAGCTGCCACGTACACGAGGCGACGCATGATAGCCGAGCAGCGCAAAATCATTGAGTGGCCGGCATTGGCCAACAATTATATTATAGAGTCTACCACAGCGGAAGCTCCAAAAGTTCGTCTTCGAGGAAATGGACTCGGCATAGTAAATGGCCGCCCGCTGATGATTGCATTTATGGCTAATCGCTAAAATAGTCGACGATTAAAGCAGGATTAATGAGTCAACACTTACTATTTACTTTCGCTGATTGGCCCACAGCCGGGCTGCACGATGCCCAGATTGGGATAAAAGTCAGCATGGCCCATAGGCAGCATAAGCCCATAGAGAAAGACATCCGTATGTATGACATCCACAAAGTCGGCAGAGATGGCATGCAGACGATCCGACCATTTGGATTTTAGAAATATTGGTTTTGCTGGATCAAGGCCCGTTATGCGACCGATTCTCAAATTAAAATATCTCAGGAAATTGGACACAGACGCAGCCAAATGGGCACCAATATCAAAACCAATAATATGCAGTTTCTGCGGCAGCACGTGTCGATTATACAAGAGATTACCCAAGAACTCGGCCACACAACGACCCACATAGTGGAGATTGGCCACCGATTCCGCATAGCAGGGTTCTCGCATTAGATTCCCATAGTCCACGGAGATGACGTTGAGATTGTGAAACTTGAGCAATTCGGGTCGCACCTCAGCATTGGGTGTGCTTTCCGAACTGCCATTGTAGCCGTGCAAAAGTACTTTGACCTCCTTCGATATATCAAAACTGTCTCCTTGATAACCCAACTCATTCAGTTTACGCCCAACTGGCTCCTCTTTGCTATTGAGATCGTGAAATTGGCCAATTGCGTTGCCTACTAAAAATAAATCAAGATCTTCATGCTTACGTATACAGCCAAAATGTGATATTCGAATTGGGACACGTATCGTTCTTCAGCTTAAAGCAGTTGGGCGTCTTGGGATCGGCAGCATGAGTTGTGCGCAGGATCAAGCTTAGAGAGCCTTTATTAAAATTATTGTTAAATATTATACAAATATCGCCCAAGTCCTTAGATCAGAAGTCAGTTACCAAGTAGCAATAATGTTTTGAACATTATTCGAATTGGAATTTGGTTGCCTAACGTTTGAGAAATGAGAATCTTTGCTTGAAATCGGCTGACTTTAAATAGAAAACTCGTTTCATAAGCATAGCTAAATGGCTTAGATAAGCATTTTACACACTCAATTTGTTGTAAATATGCATAACACATATATATGTTTTACACAAAATTATAATATAATTTCTATAATTAAATTAAGCTTGCTAAATTCTTATCTTATTTATATGTACACTTAAATAAAACTCTACAATGAAAAAGGGCACATTAAATGAAAAGGTTTTCACTTGATTTAATGCTGTTCTGCTGCACTTTGCCATATTGTTTCTTTAGTGACGAATTACTTTGAAGACTTACTCATATTCTTAATCATTGCCCACTTGGACAATATCAATAAAATTTAATTTTAATTGCATTGACTGCGTTTTGCTTCGCCTAGCTATAAAAGCTTCAGAAAATCATAATTGCAGTCAGTGAGAATTCGGAAATTGGCCAAACTTCAAATGCATATCTCGAAACAAGTTCTGATTTTTGTAGTAGCTTTTTTGGTGCTTTTTGAATTTGGAAAAAGTGCTGAAAATGCTCGACAAATTGGAAGAAAAGTACAGAAATCGAATTCAAAACTGGCGGCCAAAAACAAGGCAACTAAATATTCTATAATGGATCGTTCTACGAATTTGACACAGGTTCTATCTATAGTAGACTTACTAATGTAATAAATCAAATAAATCTATTATCATCTCAATACTCACAGGCAGATCGCATGAGGATGAGTGACAATTGCAGGGCCATCGGTGAGAAATGCTCCAGAGCCGAGGAGTGTTGCACTTTTAAGTGCGTGGAACCTTCCAAAACATGTATATATTTTTAAAGTAGCAACAATCAATAATTTAATAATAATAATAAACAGTATTATAATAGATATAACCTTGCGTTTCTTAAGGTTGTAGAATATTGGCGGCTGATCGTTATAATAAAATGAACCCAATGCAACAAGCAAAAAATGGAGGAAATCAAGTAATTAATTTAAATCAATTCTAAAAGTGCAAATTATTCATTAAGCAGCATTCCTCGGCGAATATAGTTTGCAGCTAGAATTAAATGAGTGTTTGAAATTAGGTATAATTATTCTCAGAGTATCTTTGTGAAATTTTTTGAGGTTTCTATTGTTAGAGGTAATAATTCTCTGTGCTCATCCGACAAAATGACAAGTGATATCTTTTCCTTTGTGTATCTCAAAAGGGAGCAGCAGTCCTCCCCAATAAGTTTTCCAATAAGTTTTCTTGGCAGATGTGAACATGTCTCACATACATCTGGATTTGAAGTTGTGTTCGACAAAACAGAAGCTTCAACTATTTTAAATGTAATGCAATTATAATTATTACTGCTGACTAGTTGGATAATGATTAGCATTTATGAATTATTGCTTCTGGTTTCACGCTCCATTATAATTTATTTGCTTGCGTGACTTATTTATTGGAGGTGAAGTTAAGTGTAATAATTAAATTTTGATATATGGAAGTTAATGTTATTTAAAGGAAACAAACTGTGGTATTTGAAGGCAGTTGGTCGAAGGGAAATCGTTTAAGTTTTGTGTTACAATTGAATTTATGAGTTGGAGTGGATTATGAAAACTAGAAGAGCTTTCTAAATATGTGATATATTGCGAGAAATGTTGAGTTATTCAGTGCTCGATTAAATCCAATTCATAATACACACATCGTCTTCTATGCTTCACACATTGTTGAGTGCAACAATCCTCGGCACGCCGACATCGCATGCCAATTGCCTTGCAGTTGTCCGACAATTCCCTTTGCTCTCGCTGCGCGTTGATAGATTCATATTAATAATCGAAGTGATAATAATATGATATATTCTTTGTGAGACTGAATACCTCTGTCAAATTGGTCGAGGGCTTAACAAGTACATGCTCCAGCAGCCGAGTCTTAGGGGACATCGATGTGGTTGACTTTCCACCAGGAGCACTATTCCCGATTCCAATTGCCACCAGCCACAGGCTGAGTACCAAGTAAATAATTCTTAAAAGCTGTTGCATTTTTAACTCAATTGATTACCAATTCTCTTCTGACGGCAAATAAATAAATTCTCAAGCATTTATAGGCAGCTCTACATAAAATTTGTTAATTGCAACAAATAAAAACAGATGTGAGGCCTTTAAAAATTGATTAAAATTGCCGCAAAGTGTGTGGTTGAACAAAAAGATTCGTTGTATGTACTAATTGATTTGTAGGCTGCTTTTTTACGGAACTCTTGTTGAAATTTCGCTAAAGCTGCACTTTTATATAATAAATATTTTTTGTAAAGTTTTGTTTTCTTTATCTTTATTAACAGAAAAAAGATACCGTGTACATAAGAGACTAAATAATAAAGCTGAAATTTTGTACGAATATTTTAAATACCTTTTGTGATAGTGGACACAATTATGCTGACTCATTACATTAAAAGTAAAACAACTAATAATTAATAAAAATGTGTATAATTAATTGTAGCGCATGTGTTTTCCTGCACTTAAACTAAGCACAAAGAAAAAGTAATAATTTCCAGGGAACCGACAATAAAAGACTGCAGAAAATTGGATTTGCTGTCAGTGTACAACTGATAAATAAATAAATAAATGCAGACATTTGTAAGTTTTTTCCTATTACTACTGTTGCTCTTGGGAATTGGCCAACGTTGTGGCTCAAGGCAAAAAAGGGTATGGCAAAGATATCCTTTCATGACGCAGACCAAGCAACACAAGCTAAAAAGACTCGTAATCAGCCCCTTGAAGAACCTGACACATGTAAATAATGTCAATTGATAATATTTTCAATGGCAGTTTTGGAATAAAGTTCATTTAATTTCAGTACAATCGCGAAAAATTGCTGCAGAGCTGCAAGGCGAGTGGCAGCAACTGCACTCGTGCCGAGCACTGTTGCACATTGATATGTTGGAAGTGCCACAAGAAATGTGGGTACATTGAAAACCTTTTGTTTAAAATTGGAACACGTTGAGCCCTGTGCAGCAATAGATAAAAATACAAAAAATTATATACTTCAGAGCCAACAACTGAAATCGAATTTTGTTCGTTTACAACTTGTGCGAATGTTTGGCAGCCTCAAACAAGAATTGGCCTCGGTTGGACTTACAGCATGTTGCAGCTAACATGTTGAGGCTAGATGCCATTGCGAACACACAACATTTTATCTAACAGTTGCAAATTTCCCATTATCTTGCTATAAATGTTGGCGCTGTTAAGCAAACACTTGCAACTACACGCAACATTTTTACAGCTTACATTTTAATTTTAGTTCACTGCGAATTTTCAGCTTGTGCAGATTGTGTTTGGCGGATGATTAAATGCCTTTTCAGCAATGAATAATAACTATTATTTTTGTAGATAGTTTCATTTAATATTTATAATTTTTATTATTTATTCAATTATATATAATATTTAAGTATTTTAAAATTAAGATTCTTGTACAATAAGTTGTTCCAAATAGCTTTGCTTTGTTAGTTTTGCACAATATGTTTTAAGTGTATTCTGACACTTATCATAAGATATGCGATACATTCTTGACCAGCCCCAAAATGTAGGCAACTCAAAATGCAAATATAAATATAACAAGTTCAAACATACATTTATAGAATATATAAATATCTGATTAGAAATCAACTGCAAAAAACGATATTCTTTGTGGCTTTTCTTCATTTTGCAACTGTTTTGTGCTTCTGTTGCAATATTGTAACTTTCACACACGTTACCATGTAAATGGTGTGCCACATTTGAATAAATATTTGCAACTGCAACAAGGTTTATACGACTGTTCTTTACAAATTGCACAATTCAAAATAATTTGGGATTAATAAATAAACCTTTGTATGTAAGAATTCTAGTTGAATTTTTCCATGGATCAAAATATTGTTATATAGTTGCCATATTGTCAAAAATTGAAATAAAAAATCTTTGCATTTAATTTTCTGAACTTCAACTAGGCAACATTTGTATAAAATTTCGTGGTTGAAATAAACTTTGAATTAAAGAAATTATTTAAAAGTGCAATTGATTTAAGCTTGCTCAATGCTTAATACCTTAAGAACTATACAAATGTGAGTTGGTTTTCAAATTCTACAATAAACTATGTGAAATCACTTAAAATTCAGTTTGACCTCTGCTGAAATCTTTTCTAAGCTATTTAACTTCACACAGCTGTGGTAATTGATTGTGGTTTCTAAGGGGCATCCTAATTGGAATCTTATCTCACGACTCAAGAGTCAAATGTGACACCATGAAAATGCATTGCAACAGCCACAGCACAAATGACACACATAAAAGTCGCACACTCAAGGATAAACGTAAAATTGAACAGCGCCCGCAAAACAAGGAGCAAATAACACAAATAAAACCAAATAAAGATTATTTTCTTCGATTTGATACGAACAGAGACGGAGACATATGTACATACATATATATACACTTATATATAAATGTATGTATGTATGTATGTTCATTTATGTATTTCCTTTTGATTATAGTGGTGCAAATTGCAGGAGACATGTCAACAATTCGATTGCAGGGAGCAAAATGAACATTTATGGCTGAAGCGGGCAATCGTCTTAAATGAGCACCTTCATCAGCGAGAGCAGCAGCTAAGACGAAAGACTGATAAGCTGGCTAAGGAAGCAACGGAAAACTCATCATTATCATCAACAACAACAACAGTAACAACAACAACATCAAGAACAGCCTTATCACCAGCTCCCAACGAGTGTTGTGAATGGGCATCCTCCAGTTGGCTTGTAATGCCAACTTCCGGTATGCAGTGTCAATGGCCAAGCCAACTCTGCTTTCTCCTACGGCCATCATCAACAACAACAACAACAACCAGAACAACGTCAACAACTATAACAACCAGTTCTGACAAACTCAACCCACGGATAATCCAGTGTATATAAAATTTGTCTGCAGTTTTGTTACTTAAAAGAAGCAACAAAGAAAAGAATAAGCAGTTTAATATTAAGTATACGTAACGTTGCCCAGATAAACATAAATTCCAAACAAATTATATATTCTTCATGTTGATATTTTCAACAAAAACACGCCAGCTTAAATAGACAATTAAGTTGAATTATAGTTTGGTCTATTCATCTGCGCATCTTTCTGTTCTCACAGTTTTTGTTACCCAACACAATATTATTGTTATTTATCTGTTGCAAAAATACCTCCGGCACATATGCAATTGATTTATCTATTTATTTATAATAAATCCAATGAACTCAACTGGAACATTGTGCAGCCAAAACAAAGTATCTTTTCTTTTTTTTTTGACATGTTCTCCAAAACTCTTTCAACCGCTTTCCGCTTGGCACTTTCCACGCTCTGCTTGCAGTTTCTCAAGCGGTTGGCGGCCTTTGGCAACACCTCAAGGATGCGCATGATGCCGATGAAATCGACACTTGCGCCATCTTGCGTTGGGCGCTGGCCCTATTGTTCCTATATGCAACAAACTACAAAAGTTGGCGGAGTGCGTAAGTAACTTTTGTTAAACTAACCCTTGCGTGTCGAAATTCTATTTTTCTCTATCGCACTTTTATAATTTGTCTTTCTACTTTCCAAGCTTTTTTTATCACATTTTTCCACATTTGTCAGTGGCACTCGCCGGTTATTCAGTGTTTGCTTTATGTTCTAGTATTTTCTACTTTTTTTCATTCTCTTTTTTTATTCCTGAAAACTTTGAATGCACGGCGGTTGGCAGCGACTTCAAGTGGCTAGGAAAAGCTCCTGTGTGTGTATATTTTCTGTGTGTGTGTGTCTGTGTGTGTGTATGTGTGTGTGTCTGTGTGTGTGTGTGTCTCTGTGTGTGTATTTTAGCTCTAGTTAAATTGTTCAAAAGCGCTGTGGGAAATATTAACTGCTAAGCGACTGTGAAAGGTTAAGTTTTGCAAATGAGGCAATCAAGTAAAGTAGAAATTAAAAATACAAAAAAAAAAACAATATATATATATGTATTAAAATTTGTATATACAAAGCAAAACTAAGCTTATGTGAAGACATTGAAAAACTAGAAATAATAAGTTTTGCACAATCTTTAATTTCTTCCCAATCCCACACAGATAAAAGTCTAAAATTATACGAATTATGGATGGTACTTTTTTACAATTATTACAAATATAAATACATTAATATATATGATGTACGTTTTATGGCAAACCTTAAGTTTTTCAGTCTTGTTAAACACACGCAAATCGTGTTAAACTTCCATTTAGCATATGAATGCTGCAGGACACTGCAAAAAAAGCATCTCTGCCATGAACAAGGACACGCGTGTTTTGCTTTGCGGGGGAGAAAGTAGTTAAAATCTTCTTGCAGCCTGTCAGCTCCACCCGAAAGTTGATATATGTAGATATATATATATATATTTTTTTTGTGGTATGTGCACATGACAAAAAGCAGTGTAAACGAATGACAAATAGGAAGCACTGCGAGCCACAGTCTAAACGGCAGACAAAGTGCGAGAGGTCATAGGTCATAAGGGAGGTACATAGGCCAAACTCTGTATAAACGCTGGAAGTCTTTTTCAACTGCGGTGACTAACAATTAAATTGTGCAAAAACTATTTTTTGTATGCAGCGAAATGAGAAATGGCGAACGTTTTATTCAAATTTGAGTGGAGAAGAGAAGAGTTAAATTGAGTTAAATTAACACAAAAGTGATTAGCATATTTAACAGATTAATTAAAAAAATAATATGTCTGGTGGGTTCTTCCATTCAAAAAATTGGATTTAGGTTTTAATTTTGAATTTAAGTTGTCTGTTAATAATATTGAATAAAATGAGCTCAGAATCTTTTCATCGTCTTCTTTATCTTTCTTTACTTTCGGTTTAAATAGTTTTCGAATCAAAACAAAAAATATTCATGAACTTTAATGAATATGTAAAACAATTTAATGTTGTTCTGATCCTCCAACAAGTAATGAGAAAATGATTTCACTGTTTTGAAGTAAACGCCGGACACAAATCATTCACACAAAGTTGAACAGGAATGAGTTTAAAACCAGAAGTAGTCGCGGAATGGCGCAGTTTGTGGCAAGTGTGTACCATACGCGTTTGTTGACCAACTGGCGCGTTGCAACATTGTAACTTTTTAATGGGCTCACGATGCGGCTTGATGTGTCTGCCACACTTAATCGCTCAACATGCTACGCACATACATGCCATGCCGACAGTTTGTGCTGCAACTTTATTAAACTTGTTTTATTAAAATGTCGCTAACCCCTTGGCCATCCAGCCAGCACTTGAACTCCATCCTGCCATCGCCCCTGCCCAGCCATATAAGAGACAATTACAAAACTAGTCACTTTAAGGGATTTCTAACTATTTGATATGAGTAGTTTTCATACTCAATGCGATGAACATTATTATTCTATCTGTAAGGGAAATATTTCTAGTTGCTTCAGCACTTGATGATCTATTTAATATGTATTTAAGCTTAAGCTAAACTCCTATAAGAAAAATCTAAAAGTACGGCGTAAAGTGACCATTTCAAGGACTACACGGATGTCTTTAAGACCGTTTCGAATGAAGAAAAATCGGACGAAACAGCTGACACAACAGGACTTTTTTCAAATAGATAATTTCTCGAGTCCTGTGTTAAACTACCAGGACTATCAACAGGCCAAATGAAATTCAAATCGTGTTGAATACACTTCGAAAGAGTAGATCACAACGAAAATGTTTGAAAAAATGAATGGTTTTAATCGAGATTCGGCTTTTTTACTCATCGCATATGTGCACCTAAAAGTATGCCGCGATTATTTTCACACAACAATCGGCATACAAATATTTGTAGTCGACAAAGCAATGAACTAAGCAGATTTTAATAATCTAAAAGAACTTCCTGATCATTTAATTTACTGAAAAATGTCGCAATAGAAAACGTTAAAAGCTCTGCTTTGTAGTTTCGCAAATGTTTAAAGTAGACGAATTTTGTTGTTTACACTGCTCTTAATGGCACCCATCTAGGCTCATTGGACGCCATGGTGCGTGCCACAAATAAATAAAGTACGAGTAAAGGGGCCTTCAGCAATATTGAATAACACGAAACACTTGCCGGACCAGCAGCCATGGAAGAATAAATGTCAAACATTTGAGCACGCATCACTGGGATTTTCTGCCCATTTTCCATGCGTTGTTTTTCCAACTATTTTCTTATATGTGTGTGTGTGACTGTGTGTGTGTGTGTACATTGTGTTCGCACGAGTGTCCTTTTCAATCAAGTGGACAAGCAACTTAGCAGTCACTTCAGTTGTCACTATTATTTTTGGCAAACAACTTTGAAATAGAATCGTTGCCCTTATCAAATAATAAGTGTGGATTAAAATATTTCCATTTAACTGGCTGTGGAATGATTTAAATAAGTGTAAACACAGCATCAAATAAATTGTTTTAGAGTTTCATCAATAAAGAGAATAATAATAAATTAACGTTTGTATGTTTTTTTTTTATTTATTACAAATATAAACACATTGTGAACAATTAAGCACATATAAACTACACAAATGGTTCTGCATTATATATGCATACAAATACACATATAAACAATCATTTTTGGTATACAACATTTCATTGATATTTTATAGAAAATAAAATCATCGGAAAAGTTACTTGTACAAAAACATTTGGTTTTGTTTCATATTTTGATATATTGAAATGCTTCGTCGTAAATAGTCTACAATACATTTATATATAATTATATAAAAAGGGACTTGTAAATCATATACACATATAAAAATCTACAATAAGGCAATTTTTGTTTTTACGTTGCGGCCAAGGACATACAATTCAGTTTTTTTTTATTATTATTTTTATAAATTCTTCTTAACTGCTTAAGTTAACACTCAGACAGATATTGTTGGTTTGGTTGTGTTTCACGCGGTTAAGTTGAATTTAAAACTATTTAATATGAATTTGCTTACAAATAAGTACATGGTATGTGCGTTACTAACTATTACATAAATTAACGTCTACATCTAAAACATTTCGCTTTTCATATGTTAGTTTAACTTTTGCAAAAACTTGTCAAAAAGTAAATGTAATACAATAAATTTCAACACTCTGTTTTAAATTCACATTCGAAAGTGTACATCAATTAAATGACCTAATTAGCCTCTTTTACACTAAAAATGATCTGATTTTTTTTTTCTGATAATATTTCGCGTTTAACTTTCTAATTATTTTGACTGCGATATGAAATTTTGGCTAAAAAATACAAAAAGATTTTGTTAGGTCTGCGGCATTATTGATATATATTGAGAATGATTCGTGTTCCTATGCGCCCACTTTGCTGCCACCTGCATGCATCATGACCAAGGACCCGACCATGGCAACCAGCGTGCGATCCAGCCAAGTTACTGGATTCGGATATAGGAAACCGCCCTCATAGAATCCCAGGTGGCCGCCGTGTGCCACCTCCACATATGCTGATTTTTGTCGAGTGGCTGCAATGATAAAAGAAATGTTAAATATTTAAGTAAAAAGTTTTTAACAAATACAAAATAAAAAAAATAAATTTTCCATTTCGCAGCCGGTAGGATTCGAACCTACGCTCCCAGAGGGAATCTGATTTCTAGTCAGACGCCTTAACCGCTCGGCCACGGCTGCTTGTTGGTTGTCTACAGCAATGTGCCCACTTCTGCTACTGTTGACGAGCATATGTTGTCTTAACAGAGCGTAACTACTGAATCACGTAAAATGTTACGATAACGCAAGCCAACATAACATTTTACGATACACGATGATAATGTTAAAATACTAGCAGAGTAAAATATGAAAATGTCTATTTGAACAAAAATTCAAAACTTACTGGCATACTCCTTGATGGGTAGCAGCAGATCTAACGGAACGAGCGGATCATCCTTGGCATTAATAAATATCATTGGTTTCTCAATATTATCGAAATAGAAGAGAGACGAGCTCCACTTGTAGAGCTCCTGTGTCGATGGGAAATTGTAAACGCGGCGCGTATAAGCCTCATCCAGTTCCGGCAATGTTGCCGCAGCAATAATATCACGCTCGTTGAGATTGTGACGCGCCTTCACCTCATCCGAGAGCAGCACATGGCGATGGCGCAATATGATGCTCTTCACATTCTCAGTCATGATGTACAAATAGAAGCGTCGGAAGTTTTGCCAATTCAATAGCCATTTTGTGCCCCTAAAAAGTACAGACAAACACAAATCGATAGACATTATTGTTATATACATTTTGAAGGCAAGGTGACTTACTCAACGGCATTGTAGCCCTGGCAAATGGATATACCTCCAATGACACTACTCGGTTTCGCCTTCTGCATTTCGCCCATGTACTTGGTGACGAGATTGCCACCCAGGCTGAAGCCGACGGCAACCATGCGACTCAGCTGATACTTCTGATGCAGATGCTCGACCATCGCAGCAAAATCCTCTGTATGACCATAGGTGAATATCCGTGTCGAGGTCACCTGAACGGTACGCAGGGCGCCAATGTGATTCATTACGGCACAGCGATAACCATTGCACTGCGCCAAATGGACAAAAGTGCGTATATAAACTGATTCTGAACTGTTCGCAATGCCCGGACAAATGGCGACTGTGACGTCATCTAAAGAATGTTTGGGAGTTAGTAGTTAGTAATTAGTTAGACAGAGCAAATAAGTTGTTGTTGGCCAGAAGATGATGATGATAACTTACCCTCCTGCTCCTTGAGCGGCTGATACAAATCATATGTTAGTGTGGAGCCATCCGGCAGGGAGAGGTAGACACGCTCGCCCAGAGGCCAGGGGCATCGAACACGGCCCACAATGCTATGCAATACGGTCTGAACATGTCCGCTGAATCCCCACAGTCGCGGCGGTATATAGCTGCAAAAAATAAATGGAGATGGTCAGTTGATAAACATGTGAGTTGCGTGCAGTTAATTACTCTGTGCAGTTAACTGCCAGCCAAGCTGGCTAACTTAATCACTACCTACAAAAGTCAATTCAATCAATTATTTATAAAGTATAAAGAAGGTAAAAATCTAACAGCTGCAAACTGTTGCATCTCAACAGCGCCACTAACAGCTGTTACTCGGTTGCACGTTAACTACGTCGGTCGCTGTTAATCGAATACAAGCATCGGTGGTTCAGTGGTAGAATGCTCGCCTGCCACGCGGGCGGCCCGGGTTCGATTCCCGGCCGATGCAACTTACTTTTTTTTTCTTTTCTGTATTTTTCCATATTTAGCCTTGTAACCTTGATACAAAACAAGGCCACAAAATCGGTGGCGTGCCAAAAATGAATACGACCGATATATTTAATTCAATTGAAATCCCCAAATGCTTCAATTGTAAATTGTAAATTGCGATTGCTGCAGTAGAAATGGCAAATGGCAAACTTTTGTCCGGCAAACAAAGCATCTCGTAGAATCAATTGAACTCAATTGAGGTATAAAAATCAGCGCCATTGTTGCCAGGCGTGCAAAAACGTGCCGAAACTGTCCAGTTAACTCTCTTAGTCAGCCCCTTTTCAATTAGTATCAATCAAATGTGTTCCGTTCTCTATTGTGGATCGCGGGAATATTAACAAATGCTAAATAAATTGCTAATCTTCAAACATTATTTATGAACGCCGCTTTAATATATACCAAGTAGTTTCATTGACCACATCAATTAAATATTCAAATAGTTGAATCCGCCTAGATTTGTTGTAAAAGTTTGACCACAAGAAAAAAAAACACATGCAACAATTCCCAACATGCAATTCTGAACAGCAATTAACAATATTTGTGAAGGGGGAGGGAAAAACAGAAAACCGACAAAAATGTCAAGATAACAAATAATTATTGATTGCTGTTGAATTAAAACTTGTCCGCATATCATAAATGTTAAGAATCCCATTTTATTTGTTAGATACACACTTTAAAATATATGTATATAGAAATTGAGTAATCATTACATTAAAAATATAAGTAATACACATATTAATACTAATCGTTTATTGTAATTAAAAGTAGAACTTTGTAAATGACATCATTATTTATGATTATAAATTAGAGTCGGGCAACAAGGATCGTTCATTTGCTAGTGACCACTGCAGTTTATACATACATATATAAAATACACTCGTAAGAGTTATGCAGATGACTCATCTAATAAGTTTTTGCACCCCCTTTTTTTGCTGTATTAATTCCTCAACCACAAAGGGGCGATAAAACAATAACAATCTTAAGCTGGTGTGGAAGGAAGAGAGCCACAAGTTGTGGCTGTGCTTGCTGCTGCTGATGAGTAAGTAGATTTGCGCTCATTTCGCTTACGTAATCTTTGTTGTCAAACAAAAGCGGCCAACCCGCTTGGACTTTTGGCACTGCGTCAAAATAAAATCACAAACAGGTAGTCAGCCGGCAGCCAGAACGGCATTTGATATAAGTGTAAAAAAGAGCATGGAAAATTTTTGGTGCTTTTTGTTTGTTAATGAGTTCAAGATATGACTGAAAATGGGCTAACATATGTGAATGTTGTTAATACTTAAGAGATTGAGACACACCTTATACATAAATATATACAAACATGTATGTATTAGTATGGTTACAGTATATCGAACATCAAGCGCAACCAGTTGACAGATTAAATAGAAGAGAAAATCTATTTTCAAGCAGTGCATTTTTTACTACAATTGTTGCTAGGCTATTCACTGTTATTCTTTTTTTAATTTCAAAGAACTGCGCAATTATGTTTGCACTTTGTACCGTTCCCTTATCAATGTTTGACCGAAAGCTGACAACAAATAAAAATGAAGTCAAAGCTGGCTACAAAATTGTTGACAAATCTTTTTGCAAAAACCGAATGTCGAACAAAACAAATACACATATGTTCATACATACATATATATATACGTATGGCTATTCATATGGATTTTTCAATTAAAATGGGTAAAAATTTTCCAGGCGCGTCCATACAGTCTACAGTCACCAAAAAAAGTTTGTCTTTGGCTTATATAGTTTCTAGAGTTGAAGCGAATTTTACGATTTGTTAATAAAATATATACATTACTTTTGCAAACAAATACGAATGACTGTGCGAGGGTGTGTAAGGTGATACATACGTAATATATGTACTCTATGTGCATGAATGTGTTAATATTGTCAGTCTTCTTCGCAATGATAAGAAAACTTTGTCAAATGTATTACACATTGATGACAATTTCGACTTTAGTTTTAGGCAAAAAATTCTCTGTCACAATTGTGGCTAGGCAACTGATATGAAGGTTAAGCAAATTGATAAGACAACTGTAAATAATTAAAAAATTCTTTAAATTAAAAGTACGCATTACCAATTAAATGATTTTACAGATAGTTCGGTTATTAATTAAACAACACTTAAAATATTGATAATCACTAAAGCTATGGTCAACAACTGCAACCAAGATCGCTTTTGAATAGAGGCCACTAATTGCGACTAATGATGCATGTGCTGGGAGCAGCTGTTGCATGCCGAATACTTGAGCTTTGTGCATGTTTAGGTCATATAAGTATTTACATATATACAAGTATATTTTTATATAATGTGAATCATAAGCGATTGCGTTTCGATTGGAATATCACAAAAAATGCGGCAACGTGCAGCTATAGAAGTAAAAAATCAAATGACACTAGCTGAAAGTGGTAAGCCAAGAAATAAAATACAACCCTTATCCTTTGTTCAATTTTGTTTTTGCAGCTAATTTTATTGAAGGTCCAGCTGTTAACTAACATTTTGGCATGGCTGTAACGTGTATGCAGCGCACAAGTAACAGCTGAGCAGACACACACACAAACAGCATACAAAAGTAATGTGTGGGAAGCAAAACAAAAAAAACAAATTGAATGGCGACTGAATTTCGATATGGACAATATATACATATATATGTATTTCCATACGTTTATTTTTGTAAATTGTGTTACTTACGGTTCACGCAGCACCGGCGCTATTTTGTACAAACAATCGAGAAACTGCTCATCGAGACACCAAACGCTCGGCTTCAGTGGCTGGCTGTGCACATTGAGTATGCGAAATAAAATGCACACAATGACGGCGACGAGCGTTAAAAATGCGGTGGACATCTTTTCAGGGTTTACGGTTAACCCCCCTGCACCTGTAGGTGTCACTGATGTTGATTTAATTTTGCACTTCACTTTTAATATCTCAAATGCTTTTCTATTCTCTTTTCAATTAAATCTACGTCGTATGCTCTGCTGATGTTAGTTAAAATGTTATTTACTTTATTAATTTGGGTTTGTACACAAAAGGCTTACTGTGATTTACAGCTGTCAGGGCAGATCACGCCCACAAGCGCACACACGACGCACACAAACACAAACGACGCAACAATCGCCGCAAAACAAACACGGTTGCGGTTCAAGATGTTCGACGTTTATATGTAAATCAATTATTTAATTACACTATTTGCCTTATTATTTGAAATTAAACCTTAACAATGGCAATTCGGCTGATACACTTAGTCCCACAGTCCTCGAGCGTCTGGTGTTGTTTTTAACAAATAAGTTAATGCTCAGACTCTGCTTTACTCAAAATGGCACTGTTATATTTATGTCATTTTTTAGGCCATTTCAACCCATTTAAACTGTTTGGTTAGCAGATTGATTACACTAATCGTGGGAAAAGAATATTTTTAATACTTTTGTGTGTTTTAGATTACCAGCGGGTGGCCTGGCGGCTTTGAAGGACATCGCCAACAACCTACCTGATGCGGGCACAGACCAGTACTTTGCACTAGTATTTATATTAATTTGCGCTGATGTCGGTCATGGCCGAAATTGAAATCGTAAAATTAACAATTATTGTAGAAACTGACCTATTTGATTATGATATTCACAATAAATTTACTCACCAGATATGTTTTTCTTTAATGCGCTTGTGTCGGTTACATCCGACTACAACGTTTTAACTTGTTAAATCACATGTTAAATTTTAATTTTATTAGTAGTCAACTTTCGACTGCCCGCTATTTTTAAAAATTCCCGCATTCCCAATCCCATATTCAATAAAACGATATTGTCAAGCTCAAACCAATAAATGTTATCGATATAAGGGTTGCTGGTATTTTTCGGCAATGTATCGCCAAATCGATAATTTGTCATTCACTCAATGAGAACACGTATGTGTCCATATGCATATGCGTGCGCCCCAAAATTAAAGTCGGAGTTATGTTGCTAGTCAGCAGAGGAATTACACCATTAGCCGCTTGACAAACGTGAGTGTTTTGGATGGGTAAACTAGACATGTTCGCAAAAGAAAATAAGTTAACAGCGCACTTTAATCACATTACAGGTTATGCGTGGAAATCGCAGTAGCAAGACGCCAGCAAAACAAGCAACAGGAGTCCCGTTGCCCGGCACATCGAAACACAAATTAAAATTACTGCAAGCATTCCGAACGCAATAAAATGTTGCAAATTCTATGCATATTGATTGGCCGACTGCTGCTGATGGGCATCGGTGCTTATGAGCTTCTGCAGCAGCTCTATTATCGACTGCATGCGCTCGCCTCCAGGTCATATGACTACTGGCAATGTGATGATAAGCATGAGTTCGTTTTCATACGTGCCGCCCTGGACAAACTGCAGAAGTTGCCGCAGCACTTGGTGCTCGTCATCGCCCCAGACGATTGCTATGTAAACGATGTGTTGCTCAAACGCGTTTTTGGCTATGCCCAATTTGTTGGCATACCCTATTTAAGTGTCTATGATAAGCGTACGCCCAGCACTGGTTACGTCCACCTATCGCAACTGTGTCAAACCATGGCCAGCGATACCAACGACAGACACTTTCTCTGGCCGCCCAAAGAAATCAAGGAACAAATACAACATCAGCACTCAAATGGTTGTTGTAGTAAAACGGCTGTCGTCACAAATGGCACAGTCAATGGCTATGCGAGCAAAGGTCCGCATTACACTCAGCTGCAGGTTAGTTGTCATTGATAAGGACTTATCATAAGCTAGCGCAAGTGTTGCATGTGTTTTAGTAGTAGTAGTTATCTGCAGTGTATTTTAAAGCTGATTTACTCTTGCGGAATAGGCCACTTTAGAGACATATTCGACTTGGTTACAGTCAACTATTAATAACAATGAATTATACTTAAAGCTGTAATATTTGTCTCAAGTCTCAAGGTATTCCTAGCCTTTGGTTATCTATACTTTGCGTACAATCTGGTGCTGAACTTTTGAACGCCGGAACTTAATATTGTTTTCTTATCACTACTACAAACACGAAACTGTTGACTTTTGCAGGTTTATCAAATTGACAGCGCTGATGGCCATGCCCTCATCGCCGATGTCTGTCGCGAGCTGTACGAAACTCGCAAATCGGCGCAGGTGGAGGGCATGCTGAAGGAGCGACAGACGCTTCACGACGGCATCAATGCGATGCTGAGCAAGCGGCTGGGCTTTGTGGTGCCCGAACCGGAGCTGGGCATTGTGTTCGCGAGGCAGACATGCACATATGGTCTGCTGCCGTGGCATGTGCGCTTCACTGAGTTTCACACGCATCGCGGCGGACGCTATTTTAATGCCAAGTCCTTTGTTAAGATACTTTATAAATATGCCCGCTGCGAACAACGATGGGGAAAATAGTGTTTTAAGTGTGAAAGTGTCCTAAGTAGTTACTTAATGTAATTATAATATTGTATTTTAGTTTAAAATTGTATAAGACAAGAAAACGAATCAAACTGCGCTACAAATGTAAGGAAAAGTGAAAAGAAAATCATAATACATAAATGTTTGTTATTCAAAAACGAAATGTATTTGCCGAGATTTACAAATGAATCATGTCAAATTGTGTTTTGCATAAATATTTGATGGTTTTAACTGTAAGTTCGTTTGCTTAAGCTCTAGTATTAGTTATTATTTTTTTTTTTTGGTTGTATATCTGTGTGTATTTTGCATTTCTGTATATATGCGGCAGCTGTGTGCTCTATTCCCGCTCGGGCTGGGTGTGTCGCTTGGACAACAGATTCACATCGGTCAGATACTTATTTTTCTCGATATTATTATTATTGGGACCGGAGCTCGGCATGCGCTCGTGTATCATTTGAAAGGAGTTGCGTAAATCATTTAGTGAGTCGGCGAGACCCTTTTTAATGTTGGCAAATTCACTGGACATCAGCGACAGCCTGCCCAGCAGGAAGTTCAAATTACCGTCCATGTCCATCATGTACTTCTTGGTTTCCTCCACTTTGTTGGTCAAACTGAGCATGGCGCTGAACGTGCTGTTCACATAGCCAACTTGTCCGGCCTCCATCAGACCGAGCATTTCCCGACTCTCACGAATCTCGCTGGCCATTATATCGATGCGATGCCACACCTGCTCCAAGGCCGTGTCCAGCAAACCGCTAATGTTGCGATTGTCCTCCTGCTGGGTGGTCACCACCAAATCGCCCAGTTCGTTGAAGCGTGTCTTCACTAAGCCCGTCAGCTCAGCCACCTGCTGCTCCAGCAGCTGACTCACTTTCTGCACAATCTGCAGCGTGCCAAACTCCACCTTGCGCTGCGTATCCTGCACCGCTTCCGAGTTGTTCATCATGATGCCATTGAATGTGCCCAGCGCATCGAAGCCGTCATTCAGTTTGCTGTGGCTGGCATTGATCTCATTGTAGAGCTGGTTGAGCAAATTGATATCTACCGACAACAGCTTCAGATCAGCCTGGACGTTCGCTTCCGTCTGCTGCAGATGCTCTGTCGTCTGGCGCAATGCTAAGATAATAAATATATAATAATATTATGGAAAATCGATTGATTGTTGCTTATATTTAAGACATCAAAATGAACAATGATGGAACTTTCAAAAGTTCTTGCCTTTGTGCTCATATGGATTCAAATTTTCCATCAAATACGTTTTCGCTCACCTGTTTCCTGGGCCGACAAGGATTCGGTCTTGAGTGCGGCCAGTGCGTTGAGTGTTTCGTTATTGAGTTCCTGGATATAGGCTCTGTCCTTCTCATTCAGACCGAGTGGTTCTGGTGGAGCCGTTGGTGGGGCATTACGCAGCTGTGCCACATCGGTGCTCAACGCGCCGAGACGTTCCATTAGCTGCAGCTCGAACTCATCGTTCTTGGGCGGAGCAACTGTTGTAGTGACGGCAGCAGCAGCAGCAGCCGCAGCAGCAGCAGCGGCGGCGGAGGCAGCAGCGGCAGCATCACTGTGCTCCTGCAGCTTTTTCTCGATTTGGGTCAATAGCATATCAGCTTTGGGCATGCGCTCGAAGCTCTCCTGGGTCTGTTGGGCGGACTGCTTATTGCTATCGAGCAGCTTGGCGACACTCGTCGATAGCTGCTTGAGCTCGTCCAGCAGCTGTTTGTTGATCTGCTGCTGCTCCTGGACAAAGGCATTGGGCAGTGCGGGGGCGGGAGCTGGAGTGGGAGCTGGTGCTGCTATAGCCTTGGGCTGCTTGAAACACTCGTCATTCTCACGCATCCATTTGAACATATGATCCATGGCCTGATTGATCTTGTCCGTCTGTGCATTATATTTCTCCTCTTGCTGCGATGAGATGCAAATTTGTAGCTTCAGCTTCAGATTGGTGATTTGACCAGTTGGACTACTTACTGTGATCAGCATTGTCTCGATCTGACTGACACGTTCGTCCAGTCGTCCAAATATGCCATTTATGGGCTCTAAACTCTTCTGGCCCTTCTGCAAGGCCTGCATCGCCTTCTTCATTAGTTCGCCCAGGGCACGTTCCCGATGCTCGTGCCGCTCCAGCTTGTTGTCCAGCTGATTGTACGAGTAGATCAGCGATTTAAGTGTTCCGCTCAAGTCTTCATTGCTGCACGGATAGCAAGAGCAAAATATATTAAAAAACAAACCACAAATAAATATAAAACTATTTCACAGTCGGTTTTTTAATAATATCTGTACATCAATACTGATGCTGAATTGTTCATAAAGTTTTTGTTCCTCAGAAAAATTAGATAATATTTGAAAAATAATAAATGAAAATATTAATAAATATTTAAGTATATTTCGTAATAAACGTACCCATAGATTGTTATTGTTATTTTTACTGAACGTACTCGAATCTAACACATGTGCACATATGTAGTATAATTTGTAGAACAAGATGATTTCATCAATCGTCGGTGGGTAGGGGCCTGTGACTTTGGACCACCACAGCCCCGTTTATGGCTCAGCTATCGACAGCTGAGAGGGTTGGGGATGGCCGCCTGCAGTCAGTCGTCACAAATGACATGTAAAGATCGAGATCAATTCTCGTAAACATGCATGGCTTACCCTGCCTGCTAATAATCGATGTATTTGTGTCCAACAACTCAGTGCCGTCTCAGGGTCAGAAACCCTTTTAGTTGCCATATGTGAGTATTGTGTAAAATGCATTGATGCTTCTGCTGATGTTGATAGAGATATGCAGCGCATCCAATATCCATGTGCCGAGTATACCATATGTATGCTGGCTGTGCTTTAAGAGTCTTATTCCCCGTACCCGATCCCATTCCTATTTCCATCCCCATTCCCATTACTATTGCCCATCCCCATATCATCTATTCCGCAGGCCATTTGCATGAAGTGTGTACATGCTCTGGGCCAAAAATAAACAAATACACACAGTCGGAACAGACAGACCAACATCTCTGTTTCTTTGAAGGCAATAGTCATTAGTTTTGGCAGGGCTGTCAGTCTGTCTAGGGGCTAGAAGCTAGCTGCTGGATGAAGGCGTTGCCCTGTGTCGGCATATGGTGTAAAGTGGCCAGGGGTTGGGGCCTTGGGGGCTTTGGGTTTATTTCTTTTTCGAATTGGGTGTCGGATGTGGGGGAGTTTTGTTTTGGAGTTGGGGACGTCCTGGCGCCGCATTTGATGTCTTGCACATTTCGCAAAGAAACATTTTTAGTGCATTATATTTCAAATGCGTTTGTGGAAATCCAAAGCAAAGTGCCAACGAATGTTTGACATGTGTCAAACTTGTTTGTTTTTTCGAATCCAAGAATAATGATGGCACATCAAGAGTGTACAAAATAAAGATCTCAATGAGCTACGATATTTTTGTTTCGCACATTACAACATTTTATTGAGAAATCTTTAAGGCTTACATTTGGCAAAGAACTTTGATGTATGTCTACATTAAATTCAGAAAAGAACTTTGTATCTATATTGTTTCTGTTTCTTGAAATGTATAAGCATTTCATTAAAGAGGTTTTCTTCACTTGCCCCTCTTAATATTGTGAGATTTTCTAAATATAAATATTATAAAAAACAAGAAAAAATGGCTATCTAAGTCATGCCAAAGATTATGTTCTTTTCTAGACCTCCAGTCAAATGGCAAACATATAAATATCACAATAAATTAATAAACAAACCGAAAGATTGATTCTATGAAAGCTATATGATATAGTAATCTGATGTGGATAATTTTTGCTTCGGATGTTAGAAGCATAAAAACGGAAACAAAAAAGATTTTCACACAGGATTGTTCCTATCTCGATGATATTTTGATTAAATGTTAGAAAAATAATAGCACGCAATCCTGGCGAATTTGATTAGGATAAATTATTAAACAATAATGTTTTGAATTCAAGAGTTCATCTGTGACCGATTGTGCTTATGGGAGTTATATGATATATCTCGACTCGGCTGATCAATAAAAAATATACATTATGAGGTCGGAGACTTCTCCATGAAGGCGTTGCAAACTTCACGAGAAAATTATAACAGCCTCAACATTAGTATAAATAGACCAAAGGTCTTTGCATATTTTCCACTTGGATAATCTGTACTCACGTGACTGATGCTTCGACGGATGTCTGCCATAGGCCCAGGCCAATTAGGGCTAGGAATACTAAAGCAATTGATTGATGCGCTGCATTTGCCATTTTGGTGCGTTTCGCTGATCTTCAATTAGCCACTGATGCAGTACGCAAATCCAAATGAATTCAAAGTGCGTGATCTGTGCTGTGGATGGAGGAAACTGCATCAATATAGAAGGAACACACATACATTTATAGTGTATGTAAATTGAACATTGCAATGGAGACGTCAGAAATTTATCGATTGAACGTTTGTTTTTGTTTGGCTTTTATAAAACTACATATCGCAGCTAGAAGCCATGGCAATTTGATTGCAGCTGCATGTTGAAATGGACATTTTTTTCCTTGTTGCAATGCCGATAGATATATATACATATATAGTTGTATATATGTGGAGCTCTGCATATACATTGGCGTGAACGGAGCGCTATAACAATAAACAAATGATGCAGATCATTCATTAAGCGTGAGCTAAATTTCCATTTCATGCATTTTCTGGTCGGTAATAAATGCAAGCAAAAAAAAAAAGAAGGAAAATGGGTCAAAAATATGCAAGTGAAATGCTTTAATGAGCACAGTCTGATTTAAAAAAAACGGTTCAATTATTTTTATTAAAAAAGAAAACAAATATACACAAATAAATGGAATAATAAATACTATGTATGTCCTTATCGCAAAATTGAATTGGGTTAAAGGTTGATAAATTGTGAATGTTAAGATAGACACTGAGTATATTATAGTATAGCCGAGTACTCATGCATGTGTTGGGCAAACGTTATTAAACTAATCATAATAAGTTTACAGAAAATGCATACTTATTTAAAAACGATCACACACACGCACACACACACATGGGATTAATTTTTAAGTAATGATTACTGAAAATCGAATCAAATTTTCAAACCTCAAACACTGAATTGGTTTCGATATTAAAAACTACACTGTCGATCACTTAATATTCAACTACAAATAATAAACAACACTTCTTGAATTGTTGTTAGAGCAGACAACGTCCTCACTGCACGAGCAGCGCACAATGAATGAATATAAGATGCTGCCGCTTAGCACCAAGAATTCTGTCTGCTAATCGTCTGCCGGTTAGCGAGGGAGAGAGAGCGTCAGCTAAACAGAATGAGAGAGAACAGGCCCCAATCATGCTCAGATGTTTCTAATTAAATGTAATTAAAAGAGCACATCCATCGAGAAGAGCAACAAGTCGAGTTTGTAGCTTCCCGCATCCTTAGTCTAGCGGACGGCGTATCATAGAAAGCGCAATTGAATCAAAATTCAATTTGTTTTAATACAAAACTATTCTGCATATTAATTATATGGGTGATTGCAATCTTAATGCAGCGGCAAATATCAAACCAATCAAATTCTAATAAATATATATTCAACTTTAGAATGCAATTTATGTTGAATTTTAACGCCATTTCAATTCTAATTTGTAATGCTCGGCTAATAGACCGAGTATGGATATATATCTTTTGGTAGGGAGGGAAGAGCACTCCACGCCACCTGGCGGTCAAGACTAGAAAAACCGAAATGAACGAGCGCGATCCGAATTTTAGTTCGGTGCGAATGGCATATTTACAAACGCACAGTTTTCGATACATTTATGTGTGAATGTATATCGAAAATCGATGCCTGGCTATCAGCTGTTGCCGGCTGTTGTTTATATTGGTAAACACATTTGGTTTTTTTTAATTTCCTTAAAGTTGGATCATGCCAACAATCATTGCCTTGGATGCATCGCTTTCGATGCTGCGCCCTGTGCCGGGACGCAACGAGCACACCTATATATCGCTAGCGATTAAAGGCATTCAACATCTGCTCGACAATCTGACGGCATCAGGAAAACTCGAGCATTTGGCTCTGGTGGTCTACACCACAGTTTGTGAATTGAAAGTGGACTTTACACGGGATTACGATCAAATACGTCAGGCGATTAAAAAAATCGAACCTCTGGACAAGGCATGCCTGATGACGATGTTAAAAACCTCGGTCAGCCTTATGGCCACCTGGGGCACTCAGAATCTGCTCCAGTTGGTTGTGTTCACAGACTGTGGTCCGGGCTTTGGCAGCACATCGCTAGCTGCTTTCTTGGAGGGCTATACCGGCAAAGAGGCGGATCCGGAATATGCCTGGCTAAAACTATTGGCCGCCTACCATCTGAATTTCATCTGTCTCGGCATGCATGGAGATTTATATTTCACACGAGGCGTTACGTTGCATCAACAGCTGCTGGACAATGCCGCGCTAAAGGGTGAGTCTTGGATGCAACATGTAAATCCTTTAGAATCTACAGATATTTGAAATTTGTATGATGTTTTCGTTGAATTTACTAATTTCTTGGCGACTTTTAGGTCAACTTTTTATGACGAAGCCGACAAAGGGCGCGGAGGCAGGAGAGGTCACAACTAGTGGTAGCCATAAGAGCGAACTGGGTCGCACCGCATTATTCGAGCTAATTGAGCGACTGTGCGAGAGCAGCTACAAATCGACAGAGGTAACGCTCAAGTGCGGCCACTATTTCCGCATGGAGGGGCAAGTTCTGCTGTGGCCCCCAACGGTGCCCTACGAGCAGGCGCCGCTGTACGGTGGTGAACCCATAGTGCGACACATTGAGCAGCGCATTGATGTGTGTGGGTTCCTCTCGCTGTCGGACATCGGCTCACCGGCCACGCTAAGTCGCCACTGGGTGCTGGCGAAGGTGGACCGCGAGAAGCCGACTCGTCGTTCCGGCGGTCTGGCAGCAGTTGCTAAGCCCGCCAAGCTGACGCTGGACACCAGCAATCCGCACTATGAACTGGAGAAGCTCGAGCAGGATGTACGCGATTTTTACATGAAGGACAACAAGGATGCCGAGGAGAGTGGCGATGATGGCGATGTGAGTGTCGTCCTCAAGCACAGCTCAACACCACAAACGGAGCAGCAAAAAGACACGCTGTGCGTGTTGCTCCATGGTGCACTCAAGCTGGAGAATATGGCTGCTCTGGTGCTGCTCGGCGAGAGATGGTATGGCTTCATGTATGCCTACAACGACAGCAAGAAGAAATCCAATTTTATGCTTAACGTATTGCCACCGGGTTCCAATGTCATACCCTGGCTGGGTGACCTGGAATTGCTCGGTTTTCCCGAAGATGTGCCGCCTGGCGAGAGTGCCAGCTTTCCAGTGCGTTCCGAACGGCGCTCATATTCGCAGAGCAGTGTCGTCTGGATACGCCAGGCCAGTCTGCAATCGGATGTACAAAAGGTGCTACGGCATGCCAAGAAGATGCCCGACAAAACGCAGCATTTCTACAAGGAATTGAATCGCATTCGTCGCGCAGCTTTGGCCCTCGGATTTGTGGAGCTGCTTGAGGCGCTGGCGCTCTTGATCGAGAAGGAGACCGCACAACTCACACTGAATGGCGTTGGCAGCGAGTGCACGCTGCAGCTTCAACATGCGGCAACTGAGCTGCGCAAAACATCAAATCGTGACATCAAATCAACAATTGTGCCACTCCAGAAGGCAAGTGCTGCCGATAGCACATCGTCTGCCGCTCCTCCGACTTCAGCAGGGAGTTACTTGTACTAGCATCTAGTTTACTTTTACTGATTTCTGAATACCAATTAAATAAGTCATAAAATGACATATTCGTATTATTTTTTAAATTTAAAATCTATTTATTTGTTTCAAGTAGAGAATGTTAATTCTGTTAACAGTGTAACGGCTGCTCAATAAAGTTTACAGTGAGTTTACAGCGCTGCACCGACTATTGCCTATCGGTATCGAACAATCAAAGATTGTTATTTATTTTCATTACTTGCTCGCTGCTAAAATGGGCGGTCCCGAATTACCAACAGATCCCGGGGAGGAGCACACTTTTCAAGCGCCAGCAGTTGAGCATCCACAGATTGGCGATCAAAGCGATGATAGCGACAACTCGCATGCCTATGATGACTACCAGCCGCTGGCAACAGATGCCGACGATGCGAGCGTTCTGCCAAACGAGATTATGAATCATTGTGAGGATAATGATGGGGATATCGATTTGATGACCGCCGAGGTGATTTACGGTGATCCCAATATGCCTTCAATTGAGAGTGCCGATGCGGAAATCGAGCGTCAAGTGTGGAACGAGCCGCGACCGCAGGAGCTCCAAATGGAACTGGACAAAATGCGCACCGAGCAGGTGAGTAAAATGAATAAATGCAATCTATATATGAGGTTTAACAATAAGCACGTCTTGCAGATACTCAAAGCCATGTCGAAGATAACATTGCCAAACGTGACAATACCGGACTGGGCCAAGGGTGTTCCCGAGGAGCGCTGGAAGCTCGAGTTGCTGGAGCGCATCCAAACGCGGAAGGGGACACCGGACAAAGCAGAGGCAGCTGCTGAGCAGCCAACAAAAACTGAATAATGCATATACACACATAACGATATATATATATATATTTATAGTTGATAAGCTAAGCAAAATGTTTTTGTTTTTATTATTATTAAATTAGACTCTCAAAACGACACTCCCAATATGTAGAAATTTGTAAAACTTAATGTATGAAGCAACGCTGGACTTTAAAATACGGCGAGCAGCGCCTGGCCCACCAGGTTGACCTTGGTGAAGTTCTCATCCTGCTGTGTGTTTGTCAGCTCACGCAACTTGTCCATCACATAGTCGACGGAGACAACTTGAGCGATCGTCTCCTGTCCACTTGACGTTGTCGTCAGATTGCCAATGGCCTGCATTGAGCGATACCAGGCCTCCAGATCGCTGGCCCACTTCAGCAGCTCCACAATACCTGAGGTAGTCGCATGGCAAACCTCCGGCCGTGCCACGTCCAGCGTCTGTGAAATGCTCACATTTAAATAGAATGTTGCAATCGCTATTTGCAAATTGGCGCTGCCCGCACGAATGCCGCTGACCAGCTCCACAATATGCGGCAGCTGCGCCTCAATCTGTTTACGCCCCTCCGGGTGGGTTAACCCGTTGGCCAGGCAGCGGCAAACCATCAGTTGATTGGCCGCCGCACCGCCCAGTTGGGGCAACACGAAATTCAACACATTGTGACTATTGTGCAGTAGACTGTAGACCACCTCATGGCGTACAGCCAGACGCAGTACATCCAGCACCGGGAAGAGCATGCCAGCTGGCCACTTGAGTAGCATCATCAGCGCCTCCAATGCGGTCGGATCCAATTCGGGTGACTTCTCCGTCAGACGAATGACGGCAAGTAAAATCTCATCGCCCACTTTGCCCTCCTCGCAGGTTAGTTTGTTGTTGAACTCTCTAAAAAAAAAATAGAACGAAAGAAAAGTAAATTTAAGTCTCGTTTTAAATATACTTTAGTTAATTGAAGTGTAATTATGAGTTTGGGCTATATTTCTAATTATAGCCAATAGTGCTAATTCGTAGTCTCATTTTTGAAACAGTTCGAATCTAGAAAAAGGACTGGTTTCCATCAAGAATATGGACAATATGCAATCAGATTTTGAATCTAACATTTATGTGATCAGGTCCAACTCACTTCATCTTCTCCAGCACCTTTTTCGCATCGCATGTGTCGAAGGTGCGATAAGTGCTAACTGGGAAGTGTTTATCGCTGCCACGCACAAAGTTCACATTGGTGCCGGACTGCGTATTGCTGCTGGCCGTGGAGTAGCTGGAGGCGCCTGTGAAGGGGTCCATGTTGCCGGCGCCTTGCACGTTGCTGCTGCTGGAGCCGGGCACATAGCGCGAGCCACCAGTAAACGGATCCTGATAGCCGCTGTAAAACAAATTTTTAGGAATACTTTAAATCTATTGCGCATCTTCGCTTAGGCTCAACTTCTACATACGTTGTAGGTTGCGCTATCACCGTTTGCGCATTATCAGAATTCTTGATGATAAAGTTCGCGACCTGATCGAGATAGGCCTGAGGCAGATTATTGCGATGAATGAATTGTTGGGCGGCCTGCCAGGGATCCTCGCCGCGATTGTAGGGCAGCTTAATTGGCGGCTCCGTATCGGATATGTCCACATTAAACACATAATCATATTCCTTGCCCTCGTGCAATTTCTTGCCGGAGTTCTCCTGTGTGCCGCCCGTGGCACCGGTAACATCGCCCACCAGTTTCCACTTGCCCAACTCCCACACATAACACTTGATCGATCCATCCACGTGACGCACCATCTTTGTTTGCCCCTCCCGTGTGCCATTTGACAACAGTGCCTCCTGTCCGGCCAAACTGATATTAGGATAGAATTTGAATTATTAATTGCCGATTAGAGAATCACCTTGAATCTCTTCATTACTAACTCTGTCTTCTTGACACCGCCAATTTCCTCGCTTAGCTGGGACTTGTGTGTGGCGACGGCCATGTCAAACGCGCGCAAGAGACTCTCTTTTGCCTGACGCGACTGATCTTTGGTGAAGACGCGAACGACGCCATCGCTGCAACCGGTGACAATATCACCATTCTGCAGACAGGCAACTGACCACACCGATATTGCTGGATGGACAATGGGATCGCCCAACTGTTCACCCGTTATGACATTCCACATGCGCAAGGTGCTGTCCTCGCCGCAGGACAACACAATGTGCTCGCCCAGTGCGGGATTGCCGGCCATGGCATAAATATAGTTCGTATGACCGCTCATCTCACGCACACATTCGCCATCCTCGTTCCAGAAGCGGAGCACTGCATCATTGCCGCAGGACAATAGAGAATTGGCGGGCAGCGGGATCAGAGCACGCACACAGTCCGTGTGACCTTTGAGTAGGCGCAATTTCTCGCCTTGTGCATTCCAGTAGTAAATACACTTGTCTGCGCCACCAGTCACATATTTCTGTTGGGCGGGAATCGTGGCCACCGCCCAAACAGCAGCCTCGTGTCCTTGCAGAACGGTGAAGGTCACATCGCCCGTCTCGCTGATGAGCCAGACACGGGCGGTCTTGTCCCAGCTGCCGCTGATGATACTGCGCGATTTGAGGCCGGCGGCCAAGCTGCAAACCGTCGATTCGTGACCCTTAAGCGTCAATAGGGGCACAAAGGCGTCCTGATTATAAATACAGATTGTCGCATCATTGCTGGCAGTGCAAATCCATTGCTCCGATTCCAGAAAGTATATGTACGATATGAAGTTCTTGTGATCCTTCAGCGTTACACTCTCAATGTACTCGTCCCTATTTGTTTATAAACAATTTTTTTTTGAGACTGGCGATGACAAAATACTGTTTCTTTGTCTTTGTGTACGAACCCAATTGCTTTCCATAGTTTTGTGGTTTTGTCCCGTGAACCAGACAAAATCATTTGGGCGCCGTCTGGTGTCCTGCCACCGGCAGACACGGCACGCACATCCAGGCTGTGTCCCAGTAGCTCGCAGCTAATCTTGTAGTTGTCCAGCGTTGGCTCCATCTTTCTTTTCTATTCTTTACTTTTTTTTTTGCAATTCACTAACTATGGAATTTTTCGCCGGCTTTTGTTGGCAAATAGTATTTTTTGTAGTGATGAGAGTATCTGAATGTCGTCGATATCGATATCTCAGCACAGTATGCAGAGCATGTTAATCGCAAGCAAAACTGACTAGTTAGCTGAAGTTATAAAAATTGCTAAGCTTTAAATAATATTTACAAAAATAAATATATATAAACATATATCTATTCACCTTCAAAATAAATAGCCGAGCACGAAAAGAACATAAAATCAAGTCAATATGCCAACTATCAGAATTGCTGACCAGCGTACTATTCCTGTTACTCTACGTTTCTTCTTACGTCTCTCTTAAAATTGAAATACGCCACTGCGTTACGTATGCGCAGGTTACGCCTGTAAACATAAAAGCAAAATACGAGTTTTTAAAATGCAGGCAGCCGGCGCAAATATACGCGTGCCGCTGCAACGATTTGGATTGCTGTCTCGTGGTCTGCTTGCCACACGCAACTTTGCAGATGCGGCAACCACACAAGATGTGAAACCGAAAGCGCCAACAGCAACACAAATTCCACCAACTTATTCGAAATCGTCTCTTAAGATGAGCGGCTGGCAGCTGCATAGTTATGGCGACATCGATGAGTTGCAGTTCTCTGAAAAACTCAAGTTACCCCAAATCCGCAACTCCGGTGATTGCCTGGTGCGAGTGCGTACCACAGCCGTTAATCCCATCGATATAGCCATGCTACGCGGCTATGGATCGACGCTGCTGAACAAAATGCGCTGCGATCCCTGCGATGATATTGAATTCCCCTTGACGCTGGGTCGTGAATTTTGCGGCGAACTGGTTCAAATGGGCATGGGCCCATGTAAGGGGGAACTGAAGCTGGGCACGCGGGTGTGGGGTGTGGTTCCCCTATCAAATGCCAATGGCGCTCATGCTGAATACGTTGTGGTGCCCGCGTCCTGTGTAAGTCTTCACAACGTTGATCGTGTACAGTTCAATTTTGAATCAGTCCACTTGTATTTCTTAAGCTCGGTCCGGCTCCTAAGGAACTGGATGTCAGCGAGGCAGCCAGTGTGCTCTATGCCGGATTGACTGCCTGGTCGGGCATATATATAAGTGGCGGCTTGGGTGGTCCCTGTGGCGCCACAACATCAGCCGGTGGTGGTGCAAATAAACGTGTTCTGGTTCTTGGAGGATCGGGTGGCGTTGGCACACTGGCCATCCAGATACTCAAGTCTCAGGGCGCCCAAGTGCTGGCCACGTGCAGCGAGAACGCTGTGGAGATGGTGCGTTGTCTGGGCGCCGATTGCGTTGTTGACTACACGAATCCCGTTGACATGGAACAGCTATCGAGCTATGCGCCATACGACATGGTCTTGGATTGCGCCGGGCAGGGCGGTCAGCAGGCGGCTGATTTGCCTTACGATTTCCGGCAGTACATCACATTCTCGTCACCGCTGCTGGCTAACATTGACAAGCAGGGATTGGGCTTGGGTGCCCTGCAAAATGTCGCCGACCTGCTAAGGACGAATGTGAGAGCAGTTAGCCAGCGTGGAGGATTGGTCAAATGGGGATACTTCCTACCAGCGGCGCATGGCATTCAGTTCCTGCAGCGTCTCGTCGAGCGTCGTAAGGTGGGCCTAATCTCTAATTCCATTCTATATCTACTCATCTATATCATCCTTACAGCTAATACCGCAGATCGACAGTAGCTTCGATTTCAAGGATTTGCCGAAAGCCTTCGAGCGCTTAAGATGCGGTCATATGCGCGGCAAAATTGTGGTGAAGCTTTAAGACTGTATTTTATTGTTGCTCCGGGTGCTATTGTGCATATTTAATATTTTAAGTCGAATTCTTGAAAATAATGATTCTTATATATTAATCACTCTTATCTTGTTTAATCTTGGATTACTTTATTTCATTCATGAGAATAAGGAGTAAGCAGAACTTGCTTTTCATCCTAATAACTCAACTATGATAACCAAAAAAGTCAGATAGATCTTGATGTAAGTGGAGTTATTTTTGCAAAAGAAAGTTGCTGAATATGAACATAATCTTAATAATCAACCACACTTATTTAAGAAAACTTGATTCAAATTGATTGGCATGCTACACATCAATAGCTTATTTTGAATTAGATAGTGCATATTAACTGGGTTAAATAATAATAATAATTAATAATGGGGAATAAGAAAATATATGTAATGCCCTCCGTTGCCTCAAAAAAATAGAAGGAATCAGTTAATGTGCATCCAAAAATGAGTGGATTCAAATGAACTGGAGTATGCAACACTCTTGCGCTATATTCGCAACAAGCGGTCACATTGCACAAACAGCTGTTGGCAGTCGCGGTCACACTGTATGTAATCGCATGTATATTTCTCAAAACAAAACGTAATTCTTGCAAACAACTACACAAATTAGAAAAAGAAAATCACAAATCAAATCAGCAGTTGAAAGCATGGCCGATGCCAATGCAATGACAGAAGGTGAAACCTCAAACATTACCAATTAGTTGAAATATAACATTTTAATCACGTCATTTAATCGCAACCCGATTCGATTCCCTCAGGCAAATTGCCGGCTATCGAGAAGCGAGTCCATAATATTCATCATTTGGCCCAGTGGCAAAGATCGCGTGCGTATCACGATCTAATTGGTTATATTAATGGCACCAGCTCAGCCATACAGGGCATTAAGACGACGGATGAAATACACGAGTCGGATATGCTGCGCAAATTGCTCGGCTTATTCGATTCACTGGAACATTTGGTCGAGGAGCATCCGCCGCTAGAGCAACCGCAACGATTCGGGAATAAAGCGTATCGGGATTGGTCGCGCGCCATGCATGAACAGTTGCCCGGCATGCTGAGGCAGGTGCTGCCCGTGTCCAAGCACAAATATCTCGGCGAATTAATGCAGTATCTGATGGAGGGATTTGGGAATGCGACACGCATCGATTATGGCACTGGGCATGAGCTCTCCTTTCTCTTCTTTCTGTGCGCCCTGTTCAAGGCGGAAGTATTGCAGGACCAGGACATTGTGGGTGCGGCACTGCGTCTGTTTCAGCGCTATTTGGAGTTTGCCCGACAATTGCAGCGCACGTACAACATGGAACCCGCTGGGAGTCAGGGAGTCTGGTCGCTGGACGACTTTCAGTTTGTGCCCTTTATTTGGGGCAGTGCCCAGCTAGCGGGTAATTGTATTCCATTTCTTTATTCTTGTGGTGCATTAATTTAATATCTATTTTGATTTCGCAGTCAAGAGTCCTTTTGATCCCGCCAAATTTGTGGATGAGCAGATTATAAATGATTATAAGAATCAGTTCATGTTCATCAGTTGCATCGATTACATTTGCAAGGTGAAGACGGGTCACTTTGGCGAGCACTCCAATCAGCTGTGGAGCATTACGGCCGTGCCATCCTGGATCAAAATCAATTCGGGCCTGGTTAAAATGTATCAAAAAGAGGCGCGTATTCTGCTCCCATATATATATAATATATACATATGTTTAATCAATCTTTATCTAAATCTTTGCCAGATTCTGTCCAAGTTCCCCGTTATCCAGCATGTTTACTTTGGCGAACTAATGTCTTTCGACCCGGTTACAGCGGGCACAATGATAACTGGTGCACGTTTGGGTCAAGCGGCGCCGCCGCCCTCGAAACGCATTTGCATTGCAACAATGCCGGCGACAGGGAATCTGGTGCCACCGATGCCAATTGTGGCGCCACCACCACCGCCAGCGGAGGCTTTGAACACCGATCTGAGTGTGGGCGATTCGAGCAGCGAGAGTAGCGACAGCAGCGTTGTCCTGCGGCCCGGATCTTCAGCATCATTGGTGGGCATCGAGGGTTCCGGCGATAATCCCACAAAACAGCCAGCCAGCGAACCCAAGGAGCGGCATGCAGATTAAAGTGTACATCTACAAAACGAATCTGTTCAAATTAATTGTAGTTTCGTTCAAAACATTCGAATTATCGTGTATGCTAAATTATAAATTCTTCAAACAGTTAAAACAAGGGTTTTCTTTATTTGCCAACAGTTTTTCAGGTATTGTGCCTTGCTACGTTTTTTTTTCTCACAGTTTGAGCTGCTTTTGCATTGAGTGAACTTTTATATGCGAAATTATGGAAAAGCGACGGAAACGACGGCAATTGCACAACAATTTCACACTTATACATACAACCATACAATACACATACAGAGACATACATACCATTTCATTAATGCACAATTGCTGTAAATTGGCCACTTAATGACATTTTTATGCAGCTGCCACAATGCAAAGGACAGCAACGCAATCAACTGAGAATGGCCGCAGTAACGCAGTAAAAGTCATCAAGGAAATCTACTCAATTGACTTAAGCACTCTGAGTCCGTAGGTGAAACATATCAACAAAATTATCATCACTGTTTCGCACATATAAAATGTATTTATCTGGTAAGTTATTTTGGGATTATTGAAACTTACAAAAAAGTAAGAATTAAGAATGTTTAAGTAGAAAGCGCTGGTCTATGAGAAAAGCAGTTGTTGAAATAGGTGTTTAAGAATACTTACATATTTTATTGCTATTTTATGTCGATGTGTTATCGATAAACTAAAATAGTCTTGATCTGCTTATGATAAACGAGAAGACTCTCAGTAATACAGTAATCTGACGTCGGAAATGCGTTCTTCTACCTGGTACAGTATTTTGCACAACATGCTTATCCCTATTTAATAAATTTTTAATGGGCTCACAGCAAGAGCGTACTTAGTTTTTTGAGAAGGGGCCTAATTGTACTTTCAACCATTTTGTGCCAATTTGAGATGTAGTGGGAAAGGGGGGCCTACGCACTGTATACAAATTCAAACACGAAAAATCGTTTCATATTGGAAACATTTTGAGAGTCAATTACTTAGATCTAACATCCTGTCAGCCACATAGTAATTGCCAAAAGAGGCAATGCCAAAATGGAAATGGGTTCAAGCCATTGTTGCTTTCGTTACTCCTAGTCTAGAAGTCGCATAATACTCGAGTCGGCTAGTCAAAAGTATAAACATCAAAGTATTAAAACGAAACACACAAGAACCAAACTTTGGCGCTTGCTTTTGGCCAAGTGTGAGGCGCAATCATTTATTTTCGACACATCATTTATCACAACTGTACAGCAGCATGGCCACGCCCTCTTACGCCCCTTACACTATACACCACACGACCATCATCCACTTTAGGTGGTGCATTAAAACTTTGCCGACGCATTTTGATTGAAGACTTTTGCAAAACAAGGCAGAAAAAAAAATAAAAGAAGAAACGCAAAACATTTTGTGCCTGCTGCTGCTGCTGCTGCTCCAACTCCTGTTGCTGCTGCTGCGGCTGGCTGCTGTTGCAGCTGCTGGTCTGTGGCATAAATGAAAAAGCGCCAGGGACAGCATGGCTTTTGGGCTACGACGTTGCTTAGTTCGTTTTGACCTCAGACTTAACTCGATGCCTGTTGTGTGTGTTCTGTGCAAATTGAATGAATTTTGTGTGCCTGGCCAGCCACATTGCCACATCGCAGGGGAGTCAAGCTGAGGGGGCTTGTGGATGGGTGGAGCAGCAGAGGGTGAAGTTTCATTGAGTCAAAACGGTTCACGCACCCATTTGAGCTTTGTTTTGACACAGGTTAAGCCGATAGCTCAATGCAATGTTAACAAGGCACGCAAAATGAGAACATTTTTTGGGGAATGTCAACAGAAAAATCAATCAGCGATGCTCCTAATTTAAGGGCCAAAGAAATTATGGCAAAAATGTTAAATAATTAAATAGAGCTAAATTTAATTTTAAATTTTAATAAATAACTCATTTTTTATATATTTTTGTAATATTGTTTAAAATTATAATTTTTATTTTTTATATTTGTTACTAGACAAATATTTTTAACTTATTATACATTTAGAATTAATTCTTTCTGATATTTTTAAGACTCACACAGAAATTTCAAACTTTTCCGTATAATACATTAAGAGTCTTAACATTTGACCCCGATAGGGTATTTAAGCCATTAGCAAACTTTGAGCAAGAGCCCAAGAGAAATGGAGCTTGGACAAAGACATATGCAAAGTCGTATATTCCCCGCCATCCCTCTCCATCCGGCACCTATCCATGTTGTTGGCTAGGCATATGAGAGCTATACCGAGACAGAAAAAGGTTCGGGTTAGTTCTGGTCACTGCTGGATTGACAATATGTTTAATGCTGTTGCTGAAGTGTTGTCTGCGTGGACCTTGTCGATGCACGATGCCGAGTCAGTTAGCCCCTTTTTGCTATACATTATTAACTATACCCTGTACACATTCAAAGTGGTTAAAAGGCCAGAGGGAAATAAGTCCATATTGCGACGACAATATTGTTAATTTGCGATTGAAATCAGTTTTGTCAAAGGGTCAAAAATTATAAAAATGTTCAAAGTTAAAAAATAATCCGTTTTAAATCATGGCTTGAAATCTAGCTTAAAACTGCATTTAAAATTGGAAATCTGATTTTAGTTTGAATTTCCTGTTAAAATTGTAGATTAGTTCTGACTACAGGGTATCTTCCAGTCGATTTGCAGCTCTCTTGCTCCCTCTCGGTCTCTCCCTCTCTCTTTCCTTCAGCCTGCTCTTACTTGTTTTATTTGGGCCTTGCCGTTGTCAGTGCGTCACGTCAGCTGGTGCAACATTATGGAGTCGACACTAAAAATGCCCACAGACAAGGCCCACGCATATTTTAGAGCCAACTTAATGCAGTCGAGTGTGCTGTAAGTTGGGGGCAGAGGTGCATTGCAGCCAGCCAGCTTGCTGTTGGTCAATGTCGCAAAGTTAGTTGCCAAGTTTCGATTTAAATTTTTGGCATTCTTTGTAGCTTAGATGTTTTTTTTTTGTTTTTTGGTAGTCCGATGAAACGAACTTTAGATAGTGCGAAAATAAAAGGCAAGTTGATCGAAATCTTTGCCGTAGGTGCATAAAGTAGGAGTTTTGAAGTAGCTCCCACTTATCTCCCTCTCCAATTACCAACTTAAAAGCCATTATTTTGCCAGTGCATTTTGCATAGACAATAACTAATTTTCGCTTTGCAATCACAAGTTTGAAGAAGTTTGCCTAACGCAGGCTACAGTTTGAGAGCCACTTAGCTGGGGGTGGAAATCGACAATTTTTGTTAGTAAACTCAGGAAGCAGTACAATGCAGACTTTTGCCTATGTTTATATAAGTATATATATATATATATATATGTATATATATGTGTATGTGTGTGTGTGTGTGCGCGTGTAGCTAATTAACTGACGAGCAGGAGTTTAAGCTCAGATGCTACCTGTCAAAAATTGTAGCTAATCATCAAGTGGCAGCATCGAATTGCTTACTCATGTTGGCTAAACGGCCTCAGGTAAAATATTTACTTAATCGATGTTCACATGAAGTTTTTCTTCAAAACATGTTCCAGTCGGTTGTTTGTTAGTCTTAAGGATAATCTTTCAAGCTTACACTCAGAAACAAATGGACTGAAATTTAGAATAAGAATAATATGAGCTTGCATTTCTTTGTTGTTGAAATATTAATTTTTGAATAATTGAAAATATTTCCTTTTTAATTTTAACAAAATAATGATTAAGAATTATTACAATTTGTTTTGCAGACATTCAGCAGTTTAAGATTTCAAGACATTATAAAAATATTTGATACAAGTGCAAATCGTTGCACTAAGTGCAACTAAGTAATCAAATAATATATATAATACGAAGTATTTTTTTCTTTTGAGTGTAAGTTTGGCATACACATGTAACGCCATAGTTCAATATTAACAAATGCTAAGCCACATCCTTATAATCGAATGAAAATCATCGATATACTTCAAAATTATGCATACGCCCCATTGGACATGCCAACATTCGATTTAACGTATCCGTCTTGAGAGTCATCCATTTAGATGCACCCACATGAAAGCAAGTAAAGCAAATATAAACAAAATCGATGAAATGGCATAAAACTTGCACAGATTAGCACCAATTTCGATTGCGTCCCTGCATTGCTCAGCTGCAGTGAAAGATTCTGATGCAGCAGCTGCTGGCACGTTGGCAGCATCTTAAATTATGTTGGCCCCAGCTTTAACATCGTCATGCAAACATGACTTGGCAGGCGAAGTTGAGCATGACGTGATGCTACACTCGGAAAAAAAAGTGGTGTCAGACGGTAAGAAATGGTCATTCCCTTATTTGTATAAGCAAGTGTTTTTCTAACCCAAACGATTTCATCAAAATTAGAATTAAAGATTCGAATTTCCTAGTTCAAAGAATAGTTTTGTTAAATATTTTCTAGTAATAGTTTAAAATAAATAAAATGTTATAATATGAAAATATATTTACAAATTTATTTTATATGTGTAGATGTGTTTTATGTCTTCGTTTAAATTAAATTTTTATTGTGAAAAAATTCTAAATTGTTCAGGTGTACACGGTTTTAGTTTGGGCGTTGGCTTGTTCGACAGGAAATGCACCCCTCAAATTGCATTTGCTTCCTTTTGCCTTGTGCCCTGAAGCAAAAGCAGCAGCAGCAGCAGTAGCATTTGATAGTCAACTTCCCAATTCATTCCTTGACGGATTCCTTTTACGCTTCCTGTTTGTGGAAATGCTCGGTTGCCGTATGCTAAAGGTTTATATGACCATCGTCGATTTGTGCATTTGGCCACCAGCCAAAAACAATGCAAGGATTTCCTCTTTTCCACTTTTTTCCTTTTTTTAGTTTGTAGTTTTTAGCCACCCTGGCAGTCTGTTTTTTTTTTTTAATAACTTTCACAGTTCTTTATGTGCTTTACGTGCCTAGCTTTCAGTTGCTTTTGCCCTGACCCCCTGGGATAGGAAGAGGGAGGATGGGGAGAGGGTATTGTCCTTGGACCCAGTCAGGTGTCGGTCTTCATAATTAGCAAACGCTACGTGCCAAAAGATTTTCACAGTCGCACATGTACGAAAAGCTCATCGAGTTTTGAATAGTCTAAAATCATCGATTCTGCTTGCAGTTTTTGTAC